ATGTAAGGAAGAAGGAATGAAAGTCATTATATGTGGTAAGGAACTGGGAAGCAATAATTCTGAAAAAGAGCTGGGGTCAGTATTGGGTGGTCAGATACAGATGGTCTACAGCGAAGAAGGGCTAGTTCTTTCTGTTCATGTAAAATCAGTGGAGCGTTGAACAGAAGATGCAATCTGTGTTTAGGCCTACTGTTGGTATGGCATATCCAGTTCTAGTACAAGCCTTGCAAAATGGTGTTGGAAAAATAGGAGAGGGTTCAGAAAAGAACTACAAGAAGTGTTTTGTGTTTTTTTTATCATTCGTACAGCAGCCTGTTTAGGGAGTTCAATATATATATATGTAATTTATTAAAGAGGTAATATGATCATAGTAATTAAGTACCTACATGAGAAGTACAAATTAATGACAATGCAGTAGCTGGACAATAAGGAGAAGCTAAAGTCAGATTGATACTAAAACATATGCACCAGTGTGTGTGGTTTTTTAAAATAGTAACTATTGAAACAGCCATAGACTTTTATCAGTAGTATTTCTTCAATGAAATGAATGTGTTTTTAAAAATAATTTGATCACAGCTGTTGCACTCAAATTAACAAACCAAGGAACTTAAGATGCCAGAGTATATGGTCACAAGGTCACATCAGGTTATTAAATAGAGTATGAAACTTGCCAAGTGTCATGCAAGCATGGATTTGTTCATTTGTGCCTGTAACACGATTGTTAGCTCTTGAGTTATGATCTCACATCCTAAAGCTACAGTGATTTTCAGACCGAGTGTTGCTGTCTGCCAGATTTTTAGTTTTCCCCTCTGGGTTTCAGCAAGAGTAGTAGTAATAGAAGAGCAAACTCTGGGATTTCTGGGCTGGCTGTAAATTTAGCCTGTCATCTGTGTAGCCAGACATTTACTCCATCTTTACAGACTACTGAGCATTTCTAACTAATACTGTTACAACTGAAGTTGATATAGACCCCTTAACCATGAGTTGAGAACTGAGGGACATGAGGGGACCTGCTCTTTCATAAACAGGCTATAAGAAAATAAGAATAACATTTTACTGTTATCTTAACCATGTGATAAAATGAATAAAGACTATTATAGTTATGATAAATACCTATTCATTTTTACAGTTAGTAGCTGTTCAGGGAAACTGAGTGTAAGGAACTTAACATGCTGCAGACAGTGTTTCAGATCTCCATAACTGATGCGCTCAGCCTGTCAGTATCGGAGGTTTCTATGCGTTAGGTAAGATTGTTGCCCTTATTCTCCAGGTATTTTCAGTCGTGGGGTTTTGTGGGAACTGAAGTCCAGTACAAGAAAAAAAAATCCCCAAAACCATTTTATTATTTTATTAATTGTATTAAACTGTCCAATAAGGATTAACAGTTTACTGTGTGTGCTTTTGGAAAAGCTTTGTTCTTTACTCCTTCCTCAAGGCTTTCCTGCTCCCTTTAGGCGCAGTAAAGCAAATGAGAGAGAATATCAGCACCTCCATGTTCCATAACTGATTCAGCAGTCCACAGAGGTTACTTAAAAATGTTGCTGCAGTTCAGATGACATTCCACTTGTTCTTTGCCAAGTGATGAAATTAACTGAGAGCCTTTTTATTGTCCTCATCAGAGCAAAGTTCAGCATGAATCTCAAGTTCAAGTTTGATCCTTTGAGGGTTTCTTCAAAGCAGTTGCTAATGTTTTTGAATGCTGTATGCTTCTCATTGTTGATGTGTTTTGTCTTTATTTCTCAGCCTTATCTGTGTATGTTTCTATTGCAGCACACGTCCCATGGAGATGGACGGCAGGAAGTTTCCTCTCGAACTGGGCGCTCTGGAGCTCGCTGCAGGAACTCTATAGCTTCCTGCGCAGATGAGCAGCCGCATATTGGAAATTACAGACTCCTTAAAACGATTGGAAAGGGGAATTTTGCAAAAGTAAAACTGGCAAGGCATATCCTAACTGGCAGAGAGGTAAAGTGGTATGGGTGTAAACAGTAGTGAATTGCAGTAGGTGTGAAGGTTCTCTTAGAATAGCATCATGTAAAGACTGTGAATGTTTACTGTGTTTTACTAGAGATACAGCCACTAATGTAGAAAAGAGTAGAAATGGAAATGTATTTTGTAGTCATAATTACAAAATAATTTTTCTTGAAAATGGTCTCTTACATTTGTATTTTTAACAAGTCCCTAGCCAACTTAATTATGTTCAAGTTGGCTACTAGAATTCTCTGCTAAATCCTCCCATTTCCAGAACAGGGCTCTATAAACAGCAATTAAACAAGCTTGATGGGAAGACTGCCTCTTGCTGTGTATATACTGCACAGTGCAGGGCAGTATTGGAGGGGAAGTCAGGAATGAGAGCTTGTAAACATATCTTCTTGATAATGGTCTGAGTAGCCCAAATGCAGCATTTTCTTGCCAAAGCAACATGTATTCCAGGAGTTTTGCTAGTGTCTGCAGTGCTGGGCAGCCTTGGGAAGACACTCCAGTTTGTTCAGAGCTGGTTTGTCTGTTCCTCAGTGTTACGTGGTGTGGACAAGCTTTCTCTTGTTTCTCTTCATAGTGTCTAATTCAGCTCCATAATTAGTTTCTGCATGCTGTTGCAATATAATTAATGACTTGCATTTAAGGATGGTCCTGATTTGATGAGATGTAGTCCTGTTTGCTTGTTACAAGAAGGTGTTTCTTGCTGCTGTTTTATTAATAGCAGCTCTACATACTGAAAGAGGGAGAAACGCCTTGTTGACCTTTTCTTGCCAAACCTGTCTAATGAAGTAAATGTTTGCCGATACCAGCAAGGACTTTTAAAGAAAGCTGTGTGCCTGACTGCAGTGCTTTAAGGGAATTTTATTTTTTCTGAGTGTTGGAACAGACTGCCCAAGGAAGTGGTCAAGTCACCATCCCTGTAGGTATTTGAAAGACTTGTACATGTGGTGCTTGGGGACATGATTTAGTGGTGGACTTGGCAGCGTTAGGTTAATGGTTGGACTCAATGTTCTTAAAGGTCCTTTCCAACCTAAATGATTCTGTGGAATTCAGTAGCACTAGGAGGAACAAAGGGGACATATTTTTTTGCAAGACTTGTTGCGAATGACTTTTATTTCTTTTTTAAGCTGACAGTTCTGCTGATCAGCAGTTGTTTTCTGATGATAAAGTTAGTGCTTATTTGTAGACAAAGTGTTTTATTAATTGCTTTCCACTTAAGCTCCCTCCTTTTTTTATTGATACTTGAAAAGGCAAGAACTTGGTTATTATTTCTTACAGGTATAGGAGTTGGGGATAAGTATTGTGCCACACATTGCTTTGCAAAAATTGAAGTACATTTTCTTTCACTTGCATGTGTGTGTGTTGACATCTGGTTAATTATTTTTGTTAGAAATTTCAGCAAACAGAGTGACAGCATAAAATCTCTGGCCAAATTTGGAAAGATTTTGTTACTAAGTTTCTTTAACTCTGGAATAGATGTAAATTCAATCAAGTCAGAGCATAAATACTTTCCAGGACATCACCTTTGGTCCTGATACCTAGACAAGGTGGCATTCCTTTGGAGGGAACAGTTAAGCTGATTTGAAATAACTTCAAAATATTACTGTAAAACTTTTTCTTCTACTATTTAAGAAATATAAATAAAAGTATTTCTTCTTGCTTGGTGAACTATACACTATTGATGATAAATACATAGTTTAGATGTGTGTGACTAGAATTGTTCACTATATTGTGCGTAACAATTTCCTCAGTGCATTAATTTATTTTTGCCCTTACAGAAGTATTTATCTGACCAATCTTTAGATTGTGCTGACCATTTTCATGTCTGTCACGTTGATGTTTTTTGGATGGGATTAGCAACAGCACCTTGTACTTTGAATCTCTCTTTTCTTTGCTAACTCATGTCCAAGGTTGTTTCTGTTAGTTTTCCATTCTATTTGAGGATGTCTCAACTCCTTCAAGAGACTTAATCATTATGGTTTGACTTTCCATGCCAGGGCCATTGATACAGATATTAAACAAGATTGGTCCCAAGTCTTGTCCTTGAAGAACTCAACCCCAATACCTCTTCAGCCATTTTTTAAATTAAAAAAGCTTTGTGCACATTTCAGCTTCTCTAGTTCAAGAATTTCCATGCATCCCCCTAGATGAGGTTTTACAATAGTCCAGATAGTCATATCTTGTGTGTTTCCATCGGGCACTATTAACTGTAGGAAAATCTGTTGCATTTAACCCTTCTGACTGTTTCCTTATTTTTTGCCCTGTTCATTTCAGGCTCAAGAGTTTTGTGGTAAATGGCTCTTCCAGGGGGAAAAAAAGAAAGTTCAGTCTGCTAATTTCTAAACGTGTGTTGCCATTTTGTTCTTGGCAGATGTTGGAAATCTCTGCTACAAGAATACTTGTTTGGGTGTTGGGGTTTTTTTGCTTTGGATTTTTTTTTTTTCTTTGTTCCCCTTTAAACCTGCCACTCTTAAGAATTCCAGGATAATGTTCACAATCTGGCCTCAGCCAGCCAGCACTCATCTTCCTGAATTTGTGACTTCCTGCATATATATGCACTCATTCTTCCTGCTGGCTGTCCTGTGTTTGTTCCTAATTTTTTTTTCCATCTAATGCACTAAAACATAAAACAGAATGCCTAGTTTGGGGAGTCATGCTTAAATGAGTTTTTATCTCTGCTGTATCATTGCGGTGTTTGAACCCTGCTTATCTTCTCCTTGTTATCTTTGTGGCTATTCTTAATGTTCTTTTAAGTGTTTGGTTCAATTTCAGTTTATGGCAATTGGTTCTTTCTATCTGTTCTGATAAACTTCTAAATCATGCAACAGGTCAGCACTTTTTTGTTGGTAGTTGGGAGGAGGGTATATCTGTTCAAGCATTCTTCCAGGGTAGTTGTGCATCTCCTTACATCTGGAGTCCTTCCTTATGAATTTTCCTGCAGCTTGAGATGGGGCTTTCATGTTTCCAACTGGAGTAAGTTCCAGCACTCTTTCATTTCCGTCTTTAGTGTGTCTGCAGGACATATGATGAGAGTCCAGCCTCAAATTACAGAAAGGGAGAAATGTGTAGCCTTGGAGGGGTGATCAGAACATCAGCCTAACTTGCAGGGGTTGAATTGTGCAAAGGAGCATGTGGCCTTCTGCTCACTGCAGAGGAATGGAAGGGGGAGGGTAAGCTTCGCTGAACTAGAGCTGGTGTTTGGAAACACTCCTTTGAGATCCTCTGTCCAGGAGAGTATTATTGAGTCTTCATTGTCAATCTGGTTTTGTTAATTCTTTGTCTTTAGGCCAGGTATTTTTTTTATAATTTATCAAAGTTTATTTCCTCTGACAAGTTTTTCGTACTTGCCAAAATTAATCTAAAAGTTACAACTAGCTTTTGATGTTGCAGAGGTGTTTGGAATTACAACCCAAAATATATGGATCCTTCTGTAAATTAAAAGCATATGTTCAGTCAATAGCCAGGAAGCTGAAGTTTCCTAGTGAGATGGGATTCTTTCAGTATCCAAGTCTGACTCCAAGGAATCTATTGTCATCTTTCTGTTCTTCCCTTGGAAAAAGTGAAATTTAAGAGGTAGAAAATATTCTGAATGGTAGGGGTTTTGCCATTTTGCTGTGTCTCAACTTCTCATTATTTTAACTCCCTCATTCAGGCCATGTAGGAGGAATGCTTAAGCCATGTTCTGGTGAACGGTGAAAGTTAATTTTAATTCTGCTAACTGGTGCAGCAGTGTAACAGTGTAGGTGGACCTGCATTCTTCCTACATTGGCCATAGCACACAATACTTGAAACTGTTCTGGATTCACCTTGTGTAAAGACAGCAAAGTTTCTGCTTTGGAAGGCAATTAGATTCTGTATTACCTGTGCTTAGTAAAACAGAGGGTTTTCTTTCTCGGGCTCCTCAGAGCTATTCTTGAGGGCACACTCCCTTCACCTGTGATTTGGAGACCTTATCAAGGTACCTGAAATCGCTCCTTGTTCCAGTGAACTCAGTTCAGGCTCTCAAAGTGAGTCTTAACACATTGTACTCTGTGTTCAGATGGGTAGGAATTCTCTAAATTCATCCTGCCTTTAAGGATATAATTAGTGTACTGAGAAGGCCTGTGAGTCTACCTTTCAGAAAATTGAGGTGTGTGCCTTCCCTGTATTTTCAGGGCTGAATTTGTTTGCCAGTGTCAAGAGAGCTTTGATCATCTGGCACCAGTGCACAGAGATAGAGGTGAGCTGTGTTTTGCAGAAACCCAGTAGCTTAAAACTTTGTGGGTTGAAGTAAGTTTATGTCTTCTAGAGATTCACCAGAATGGTTACAACTCAGGACACAAATGCAACTTTTTCTGACCGGAATGCACTTACCCAAGCAAACAACTGTCTTCCATGACATAGGTACTCTTGGGACACCAGGTGAATTTCAGATAACTTGACCTGCTCTTGAGAGAGGCTGTGGTCAGTCTACATCCAGCATGGTTTTATAAGTGATTGCAGGAAGTGAGTAACTTTGTTACTTATGTGACAACAGTTCAGCAGTTCAGCAGGTATAAAGGTAGAGATAAAAATCTTTCTTGGTTCTGTACATAGCTGTTAATATAAAAATACCTGTTACTTAATGTTTTCATCTCATTTGTATTTTTGAAGTGATTTCTCAAGGTTTTGTAATGGAATTTTGCCTCAGGAAATAGTGATCTTTAATTTCACTAGCATACCTCAGAAGAAAATACTCCCAAAACAAAAGTAATCTTAGATGGCTTCTTGGTGACATCTCATCATATCTTGCATCTAGAAGGGCTCAAAATAAATCCTGAACCTCAATTTCAGAAAACCTTCTATCTATCACATAATTGTCTGATGCACCCAAATGTTAAATACTGTGTTCCCCTCTTACTCTCTCCCTCATGACGATACATCTGTGTGTTTTTGCACATCAGTGTAGGGATATAAAATCACTTTGATGTCAGATATTCTCTATTCCATATGTTGCTAACCCCAAGATGGCAAAAGACAGCACAGAGTGATGCAGGGAAATGCGAGCTGTGTCATTTGGCTGTGTTTGAGCCAAAAATCCAAGAGGAATGGAAAGCCCTTCCTTTGCATCAGTGAGGTATTATAATCAGCTGAGTTGCAGCATCTTGCCTGTTTGAGAGGCACCATCTCCTTGGCCTCTGTAGGTTTTCTTCTGGTACGTTTAGTCTCTAATTTAGAAAGGAGAAATACCAATTGGCATGTAATTCTAGAAAGATTCCCATTTCCTCTTCTAACTCATCTTGTATCCAAATGGCATTGCACTGAAGCTTGTCTGTGCTTATTCATTCAAATCTTCAGGTTCTGACTAGTTACCATGGTACTGAATTTATCTTTTTATGTTTTTTTGTGAAAGTTTTTGTTTGTTCTTTAGTATTTTTGTGCAGTATTTACTGAAAAGATGAGAAGCAGTAAAGTACTGAACTTGACAGACAATGGGTTTTCCTTGATGCAAAACTGTTACTTCTTTTCATATCCACCAGGTAGCAAACTGATAGAAATATTCAGTGAATTTCCAAAGGTGAACTTAGTTCTTGCAAAATCTCTGTGGAGTTCATTACAGTTTGTTCTGGAATCTCTGCTTTTAGAAGCATCTTCACCAACTGCCACTACCCAGTCAGTACAGTGTAATCTGTTGTGTAATTATACTGCATAAATATTATTTGTAGGCACACTGCTCTCTATCAGGGCACTGTCTCATGGTGGAGCTTCCACTGCAATTAAAATGTGATGGTCTTAACATCAAGCAAAATACTAAGTGAGCTTCTCCTCTTAATATACTTAAAATACTAGGGGTTTTTCCACCCTGCTGTTTAGTTTGTCGCAGTAGAAGTAAATTATACTTTAACCATTAATTAAAAATATTTTTAGTTTAAATACAAACACAAAATTTGCTGAAGAAATCTTGAGTGGTTTTAGTGTAATTTTTTATTTTGCATTTCTTTTAATGAATTTGACCGTCTTGTAATAATGCTGCATTGTTTATATGGAAAATACTGATTATGAACTCTTTCTTTAGGTTGCCATAAAAATAATTGACAAAACACAGCTGAACCCAACTAGTCTGCAAAAGGTAGGTTTTCACATTTAATATTTCCAACTCTGTTGCAGCTTGTTTTGTTTCATGCCTCCTTCCATTAACCCTGAATGCCTGTGCTGGAGAATCTGAATCATTGCATACCTTGCACACATCTGACCTACTGTATTTAATAACTACTTTTGTAACAGATATTTTTGACAACCCTGCAGTTGTTCAAGATGAACTTGTATAGAGCTGTAAACTGAGAAAACAGTGGTGTTACCACTTCCTTTGTTTCCTAGGCACAGCTAACTTTGTAGAGAGGATGTTCATGGTCTGGTGTCATGCCCCCATATCTCCTTCTTGCTGGTCACTTAGTTAATCTTAGAAAGCTTAAGTTCTGTCCTCTCAAACTGGTCTTGAAAATACTGCCTCTGGACTGAAGGTCAAGCAGTATCTATGCCTTTCACATCATTTGCAGCAGAAAAGGTGCTGCAGTTTTATGGAACAAATTGGAGCATGGCTATTCTGGTTTCTTCCCTCTAGCCTCAAATGTTTAATGTGCTGTTGCAGTTGTATTGCCTTATCTAAAGTAAGTTGTGATAAATCCTACTCTTTCATCAAGCAAACCAACCTGCTTTGGAGTGCCTGCAGGAAGTACATTTAAATGTCACTTTTACCTAGGACTTTTCTAACTCTGTCCTTTTAAGTGCTGCAGTCAAAGGCTTTTTATTTACTTTTGAGTACATTGATTAAAAAGCTCCTTGCAGTATTTCTTTTGAATGAGAGAATACCCAGAACTTACCTGCAAACAAATAGCACAACCAGAGTAAATTGGAGAATATACACATTTGGATTTTATACAAATACTAAAATGATTGTATGACTAGATGTTTTTATCAGGATTAATGATGCAAAAGTAAATTGGAAAAACACACAACTTCCTACATTGTATGGTTTAGTTGGGTGACAAAGAATAACCTAGAGAAGAAAAACTGTTAGGAGTAGATAATGTGGTTCCAGTTTTCTCAGGTTTTTTTTCATCTTAATCCCTGAGGTTATTGGTAATTTCTAGGTAAGCAGGGAGGAAATAAAATGCAAATTAGGTAATACAGTGAATTAGATAAAGTTGATTTTTGTGGCAGATCTCTGCAACTTTGAATGCCTGAAAAAACTGTTAAATGCTTGAAGCACTTGGAAGAAAACCAAAAGTTGTGTGATACGAAGGGGAGGAGTCAGGGCATGGGAAAAACAGTCAAAGTAGAGAGGCCATGTTTTCAGACTTAAAAGTAAAATCTTTATCCTTCAAAAGGTGTTACCTTATGATTGGGCTGTAATGCTAGCTTGAGCTCAGGTACAAAGCACACTTTTGACAACTCACAGGTGTTCAGTTGACAAGGCTGCTAACTGGACATTTGCTTGTGGCCCTGTAGTTCCTGGGTTTCAGCCTGCTCCACATCCACTTGTGCCTGTTTTAATTTCATTTTTATTTACAATTTATAAGTTAGATTATAAAGTGTCATTTGTAAATTGATCTTGTCTACTACTAGGTTTCTTAAACGGGAGTCAGGAAGAATAGTTTAAGATAGCAGGGTAGAAATCAGATGAGATTTGGTGAGCGAGGTTTCTAATGTGCTCTCCTCTGAGGTCATTTGTTACATGTGCACAGAATATATTAGGATATGTTAGTGTTCTTAAGAAATGGAAAGTAATTTTCTTAAAGTGAAATGCTTGCTTGTAATAAGCAGAGTGAATGCACAGCACATTACTTAGCAATTTTGCTTTATCAAGGGTTTTTTTTTCTTTTTTGCAAACTTGCCCTCAGCACTGTCAGCAGTGCCACAGCCTCTGTGCATTTGAAGCCAACTGGGCACGCGACCTGTAGATGCAGGGGAAGCTGAGCTGGAAGTGCTTCTGATCTTGCACTTCTGGAGAGAGCAATAAAATATTTGAGGTATGGTGGGGAGGGAAGGGCTGTGCCAAGCAGAGGGTGTGGTGTGTAGTATCTCAGCTGCGGTGTAGCTGCATACCCTAGTCACCCTTAGGTGGGGAAGCATGGTGACTAAGGCTGCCGGTCCTGGTTTTTTTTGTATGACATCTTCCACACCGATACTCCAGCTGCCGGAAAGAACTTAACCTTGTTAAGGACTCGCTCTGCTTTCTGGAGCAGTAATTCTCGGCATGTCCCCGCAGCGAGCCCCGGGCGGCTGCGGTCCTGACAGCTCAGGGCTCAGCTCTTCTCAGGGGTCGAGTTTCTTGTCTGCTGCTGAGGGAAGTCTGTGGTAGCCACATGCAGCTACTCTTAACTGTTGTTTTAGGACCTAATTACTACTCTACTGCTCCTACTTACTGAGGAGGAAACTCTTAACTGGTACTTCCCTGCTTTGAAAGAAAAGGGAGTTCTTAGAGCTTTTTTCCCATGCTGGTGCTGTGAGTCATAATTGCTGTTCTCTACAAATGTACTTGTGTACCCAGTTGCAGTCAATATTGGTCTCACTGGAAACAAGTGCTGATGCTACAGTAGTTCACTTCCTCCTAGACAAAAAAAAAATTGTTTGTTTTTGTTTCTTTTGAATTAGCAGTGCCATTATGTGCAAGTTATTTTGTTGCTTTATTTTTTTACGAAGTCTGTGTAATAGCATTAAATCACTTCTCATTTTCCTTTTTTAGAACTTGGCTCCTTAGCCAGATATTTTTGTTCGTTGTGTGCAAATGTTTTGCCACTTGTTTGGGTGATGTTTTCTTAAAGCTTTTTAGAGTTCTAAAACATCGCTTTTAACATGGACCATGTCCTTTCTGAGTGTAGCTTAGTCAGTAATTTTAAAACTAGAAGAAAAGGATTAAAATATAAATGTTCAGGCTATTCTGTTTGCAAGAAGTTTTTTTTTCTGTTTTCACATTGTGGTTTGTTTGAGCCAAACTTGTATTGTGTAAAGGCTTCCTGCTTTTGAGGCTCCTAATTACATGTAGGGCATATTTCAATGAGCAGGTAGGCATCAGGAGGAGCCTAATACAGGGGTAAATCTTGAGCTGTCTTGGGACAATATCTCATGAGAAGACCACTCTTTGGGGGGATGGAGGCCAGGATATGTTGCTGCTCTGCATCTAACTTGCTTTTTGCAGAACTTATTTTTGAAATAATTTGTTACTGAAACTCTCGCAATAGCTAATGCAGTAACACTTCCAGTCTGTCTTTTGGTGTGTTCAAAGAGAGTTGACTTAAAAGCTGGATTCTTCGTTCCCCCCACGCTCTCATTGTTACCAATGTGTCAGCATAATGAAGTTCAAGTAAAGTTGTTTCAAGATTATTACTCAGTATGTGTCTGCCCTTCCATTGCTTGTTTGTTGTTTGGGTTTTTTTTTTACTCAGTTTGTCTGCTAGCTGCATTAATTACATGTAATTCTTTCCACATATCTAACATGGCTTACAGTCAAAGGACCAGACCACAACAAAGCTGAAAGCCATTTGTTTGGCAGACTAAGGATGTTTGTCTTTGCCTAGAAACATTTGTTGAGCTCCTGTTGACGGAAAATGAGCTGTTCAACAAGCTGGGAGTAGTTTTTTAATCTCAGTATTAGAAATTAAAGTGATAAGCACTGTTTTCAGTTGATTGTCTGCCTTTATGGTCTCATTATGAAAAGTTCCTAAAACTAAAAGCTGTTCTTTATTGAGAACCTTCACATTACATCTTCTGATCTGCATTCCTGTGGCAGAGAACCTCGGATATGTGGGCATTTATCATACCTGCTGATATCATACTTCTTTGCAGTGATTTTTACTCTGTGATGATAATTACTGTTTCTATTGCTAGAAGTCGATGCACATGATATTTTGGGGGAATGATATCTGGGGAACCTTTTCAATTTTCAACATACCATGTGAATGATAGATGTGCACTAGGATAGGTATGATGATAGCATTGTATTCTTCTATCAGAAATACACTATAATACATATTACATAAGTGTCAAGGATTTGCAGGTATCCCTGTGGAATCTGCTATCTGTGTCAAAACGCCACACATAACATTTAAATTGTTAAATTGTGTTAGAGGAGCACAATCTGAAATGCATTTATCTAACTAAATTAAAATAAAGAATTTGGTGGTTGTGTCCTATTCTCAAGTATTTATATTTTAATTTCCTCTGAGACAAAAGAAGTTTTTTTTTAAAGCCTGTTCCTAGTCACCCACTTCAAAAAATGGCTCATACGTAGAAGGAACTTTTTTATGTGCTTCATTCAAGTTAGTAATGCAGAGTAGTTGTCTTCTGGACCAGTGTTTTGTTTACAGCAGCCCAAAATGTGGTATGAGCCTGACTTGTATCATACTAGACCATCAAAGTGCACAGTGAACAATGGAGGAAGTAGCTAGCTTCAGCCAGGTCTCAGCATACTTTATTAAAAATAACTTTAAAATATAATATATTAATTTACATTATTATATTGTGAATTTTAGCCTCATTTTTACAGTCTTAGTCTATATTGCCCATGGTTGACTGTTCTTGTTTGGTGGCACCAATTATGACTGCCTGTATTCCCATACTTAATCCTATGAACTTATCTTTTTTTTTTAGGTGGGTGAGGTGGTGATAAATAGACTAATGGCTGAAAAACAGCCAAGGTCTTCATCTGTGCAGCAGTGGAATTGCCCTTGGTGAGAGTCTGACCCAATAGGCTTTTTCGGAGTATTGTGAGTGGGAGATAACAATCAATTGAGAGTGAATTAAGCAAACTGTCTTCAAAACTTTGAAAGCTGACTAGAGGCTTTCAAGTTCTATAAGCTGTGATTAAAAGTATTAATGGAGTATTCAGAGTATATTACATGCTAGTTCAAGTGAATGAAAAAGAAGAAAAAAATAGTTATAGATTCATCTTTGTTTAAATTTCTGACCAGCATGAGATGTTGAAGTAGTCTGCCTTGCCTAACTATATATGAAAAAGGTCTAGAAATAACATAGTTAAAAAAGCAAAGGGCAATTTAGTTACCTTTCTGATGGAAAAAGAAAGCAAGCATGTGTAGTTTTTGCACAGCTAAAAACATATTTGATCAATCCTGATAGTATTTAAGCAGCTTGTAATCTAGTGAAGCATCAAGCATAGACCTTGATAATAAAATCATGAAAAGCATTGGGAAAACTGGTTTTACTCTGTGTTCAGGTATGTGGCTGTAGCATGTGGGAGAAGGTCTCTTGGGCAGTGCAATGAGGATTGCTCCCCAAATTCTGTTTACAGAAAAGTCATGTTTACAGAAACATGAGAAAACAGAGAATGCTTAGAATAACTTGCCTCCAAACTGTGAAACTTTGTTTGTTTTTATTTATTTCTTCACATTTCACCCCCTGCATTTTCTTTCAATTCAAGAGACAAAGGTGCAGGGATTTTATTTTTTAACTCTTACATTGTTTGCTGTTTGTTTCTTATGTTTCACTCTTTTTTTTTTTTTCTTTTATTGAGTAAGTACACCTACAGACTTTTGAGTCATTAGTAATACCTATAGACATATTAAATATCTTCACTTTATCTGAAATCTTACCTGAGGCAAATCTTGCAGCAGCACTTTTTGCTTCCTTACTGTTATTAGCAATGCTGTTATCTTGTATTTACAAAATTCTCTCCCATGTCTGCATTCCTTTGGAGCTGTGGACTTTTTGTTCTGTTTACGTTTAGTTCAACCTTTTCTGTTACAGTCCTGATATTCCTGTAGAAGCTTGGGTTAAGTTTAGAATAAAACCACTTGATTACTTCTGCTTTTTGAAGCATGCAGTTAGAAAACAATAGAACTTAAGAATGTCAGCCCTCTGGAGTCAGGTTGGCATGAGGGGAGCTGCAGAGGGAGAACTAGGTACTTGACTGCCATATAGCGTGCAGTCATATTTGTACTGCAAGGTTTTTTAGTGATAATTTTTTATCTTGGCTTTTTTTAAGGGAGAAGTAGTGGGAGTGCTAACTATACTATACTATACTTAACTTCATCTGTTAATAACCAACTTCATTAAAAGCAATGTTCTATATTGCACTAACACCACCTATGGCATTTTTAGGATTAACACTTCTGGGTCTATATGCATATTTTAATTCTTTTGCAGAGGAGTTTTTTCAGAGGTGAAAATATTTAACAGCTCATTGGTAGACTGTACTTTCTTTTGTGGTTTATTAAATGTCATTGCCATATTGCCATGTCCAGTGGCAGGAGGATGGAGTTACTCTGTGTCACAGGCAAATTTGAATACTGCAGAAATAACTATTCATGCAAGACTCTGTTCACATGGGTACTGGTGTTGGAAAAGAACAAGATCCTTGCAACCAGTCTATGGCCTCTGGATGCAGCATTGTTGGTCTAATGTCCCACTGCAGCTTGAAATGGGCAGTTGTGCTCCCTCAGCACCCATCCGGCCAAAACAGCTGTGCTGTGGTGGGCAAGGGAGATGCAACAGAAGACTTGGATTGTTTTTATCTGGGGGAGTTGTGTGGTTTTGAGAGATTTTTCTGTTAAATTCATTCTGGACCTTGTGGGTCTGCGTGGGTTAACACCCATGCCTGCATAAAGGGAGCAGGTAGGATTCTGTTCCCTGGGAAGGTGGATGGTAAAGAGGGTGGGAACAGCTGATCCCTTTGAGACTCTACCCCTGAAGTAATGGTGTTTCTTCTGTCTGCTGGGGATTGTTGGGCCAGGACTACAGTGTTTGTGTTCTGCCCTACTAATTTTGGCAAGTACGTTCAGCGTGTTGTACTGGCCCAGCAGGCTCGATGTATGTCTGGCAGAGAGAGTCAGTGGAGCTGTGGTGACCAACCCAGGACTAGATGCTGCTGTGCCTCAGTCACCTTGCAGGGATGCTTCTGATGGGCCAAGAAGGGGGCCTTGCATCCTTAAAACTTGTTCCTTGCTGGTGTATAGCACATTTTTGTGTGATAGAAGCAGCTGATTTTTCATCTGTGAATTCATGCTGTAGCACAATAATTCCCTTGGCTTTAACAACATACTGAAGAGTGATGAGTTCATATCAGTAATGTAGTGCCATGGTCTTCAAACAGTGCTCTGGAAGAGGGTTCCTGAAACTTTGGAAGCAGTATTTTCTGTGAAGGGGTGAAAAAGATGTGCCAGCAAGAAGCTACGTGGGCTTAGAATGGTCTTCTGGCCCCCAAAGTTTGCAAACCACAGAGCAAAGATCTCTTCTGAGCTGTCTGGAGCACTTTGTGGGAGTGTTCAGGTTTTTGAGGGTTGATTTGTTTGGGGAGGAGTGTTAAAAAATGCAGGCACTTAAGTTCTTCCCTCCAGTAGGTGCTTATTTTATGAACTTTATTGAAATGCTAATAGTAATGTTTGCTCTTTGTGTTTTAATAAATATGTAAAAATGATTGGGCTTTAGGAAGAATGGGTATTGCCTATTTCACTAACTTAATGTTTTCTGTTTATTTCAGCTCTTTAGAGAAGTAAGAATAATGAAGATTTTAAATCATCCAAATATAGGTACTTTGTTTCTTTCACATAATTTCCAAGTCTGGAGAAATGTTGACTTTTTCACTGTTAAAACTGTGCTGTGAGTTTAAAAGATTATTTTTAATAGAGTGTCAATTTACTGTAAAGTAGCAGTAATAAATTATTTTTCAGATCTGTGCGTTTAAAAACAAACCCCAATGTTTTAGTTCCTTTTCACAAAACTGTTATTTGCATAGCTAGCTATAATTTTGCTACTTTTGGGTACAATATTGGTTTTGACTGAATTCAAGGTCTCATTAAAAATAAACATATACCAAAACCAAGGATTGGCCAAGAAATTGAGGTTTGTTCATTTAAATGATCTGGAATTATTAAAGAACTGTCAGCAAACTGATAACTCACAGCTCATTTGTCACTATGTATGAGAGTTCAATGCATAAAAATGGCTATTGCTGATGCTTCAATCTGTGGAAGTTCTGCTTAAATTAATTGTTCCCATGCTGCAGAAGCAAATTACTGTTTCTTGAGAAAATATTCTGTATGAACTGACCAAATTTGCTACAGTATTTTGTAGCAAGCAAATAGGTGTGAGTTTTTCTTAATCTTGCAGAGAATTCTCTGTGGGGTTAACACTGTCTTTCTGCAACTGTTTACCTCATTAATAAATTACTTTCTTTTCTAGTGAAGCTATTCGAAGTTATTGAAACTGAAAAAACTCTCTATTTAATAATGGAATATGCAAGTGGGGGTAAGTACCTCTTGTGCTGTGATGACAGATGTAAACAAATTGCCGAGTGGGAGAAAGCACTTGTTTTCTTCCACGTTTTGCTTTCTTTTTTAGCAAATATTAATGTTACGGTAGTGTAAAACCTTAAGCAAAATCCTTAATATTCTCTGGGACTTCTTTGGGCAACATAATTATGATATGTAAAAACAGCTTCTGAACTTACTGCAACTTAGTAACATTTGCCTCGTTTTCACAACTAAAATGTAATGGGAATCTTTATTCAGCCATTCGTTGTTCCTCTTGGTAACAAATGCCAGCAGTGGCAATTTATTGTATTTGGCTCCCTACCTCTAGTGTCCCATCTTCTGTAAGGCATTTGGTAAAAACATGTTCAGATGAAACATTTCTGTCTTTCTTGACTGTTGCTTTCCAAAGCACAAGTACTGCAACTCCTCAATTTCTGTTTTTCAGATGTTGATATCATTTGATATATCTTAATCAAGGATCTTCTACCATTAAGAATTGTTAGGCTTGGCCTTATGCCATGTTAGGAAGAACATAAACATTTATTCCTGATTGCAGAGGGGAGGGAAAAGTGCACGTCATGCAATGTCAGATGTTTTAACCAGAGCTAGAATTAAAGTATTTGGGCTTAAGTTACTCCTTGCTGGCTAATACCTAATTGTCAATGTGACCCTTTAGCATCAGCAGCTGGGAATCTCAAATAGTTAAGGCTTTTCTTTTGGGAGGGAGATACAGAGACTTTTCTCAGAAAAAATAATCATTAATTCTGACTCTGACATCAGATTGTGAAGTTTAACCAATTACTATAAATCAGGTAAGGATTCTCTACCTGCCTGTTTTTTTATAGCATCACTCTAAATACGCAGCCAGGAATTGTCCAAACAGAAATAAAATTGGTAAAATAACATTAAAATATTGTCTAGTACAGATGTTTGTGGGGACATTTCTGTGGTGTTTGATGGTACTAGTCTTAAAAGTGAAGTCCTGTTGCCATCTAGTGATTAGCTTCTGGGAGGTAGAAGAGCCAATGTTTTTTCAAAGCAGGGAGGATCTTCCTTTGGGTAATGGAGAGATACATAATGTGCTGACTTAAAAGACCATAAGCAGAACCCTTTGCATATGCCATGCTGTGCAAGACAGGAATGGCTAGTAATCCATTTCCTAAATTTCCGCTTTATCAATATACTGGTCACACATGATGCATGTGAACTCGGTGACTGCAGAATGAAAGAAGCCATTCCTGTAAGAGCAACACTTCCCATAAATTGGGAATAATTCTTTCCCCATGTCATTTTCCCTGAATTGTGAAGAAGTGTTGAGGCTTGTTCCCCTCAAGGTTTTTGAGGAAACAGCTGTGAAATGCAACCAAGAGACTTATCTGAATTGAGTGTTAAATAATACACTACAGAGGGAAGTAAGACTATTTTGTAGAAAATTCTGACATTCTTAGATTCCTCAGTTGTTGCTTTTCCTGCTGTATGACTGGGTTTTTTATTCAAATTTGGTGGAGTTGCTTTTCAAAAAAATGCCTTTTGAGGTGGCTATTTACAAAACAATGGTTTTTTGCTCAGTAGAGAATATTTAGATACTTGATCCACTTGTAGAGTTTGTATTAATTTTGCATATTAGTGAAGAATCTTTGAAACTGCATGCTGGCCTGTTTTTGTAGGAGTTCTAATGTACATAACTATTGGTTTTAGTAAAGACAATCTCCTGTGCTCTCATGAACCTGTCAGTGGGCTGCACCTAAGCTCAAATGTTGTAGTCTGTATTGACATACTATAAAATGACTGGATTGATTAAAGGAAAAATACCAAACACAGCAGATCTTTAGTAATCTCCTTTAGTCATCCACAGACATACAAAATTAACTTGTTCAGAAGTAATCCCTCTTAGTGCATCTTACAGATCTGATGATTTTGTGATGGATTATGTCAATGTGTCCTGCTATGGTCATTACTGTGACCCTCCTTATGGAGTACCTATTCCAAGCCTAGGTTTAAAGCTAAGATTTCTGAGTTTGGTTGGAACAGTTTTATACACATTCACACAGAAAAATTCTAGTGCTGGTATGACAGTATTTACAATATCATTAGATGCTTTTTTCTGAGAGGCAGAAGAAACCCTTTTGAGAAAGTCTGAAGGCATACACATCATCTTTGTTTACAAAACAGAAGAATGGTGCTCACTTTCTGTTACAAATAATTGGAAGGTTTTTTTTCTATATCCAGTTATTCATTAAGTCTTACTACTTGTCTTTTTGTCTTGAGCTAACCAGTAATCATAAACTTCAAGTACAATCACTCCAGTGAAGCTGCTGTGGGCAGCTGCTAGAGAGGAATCTCTAGATTCTGAAATTGGCATTAATGTATCTTGTTATTGAATTGTAGGGGAAGTGTTTGACTATCTGGTTGCACATGGAAGAATGAAGGAAAAGGAGGCTAGAGCTAAATTTAGACAGGTATGTATAACATTCTTACACATCAGCTTCTCTCTCCCCTCCCTGTTTTTAATGCTGAAATGAGTAAAATGGCTGTCCTTGCATTTGACTTTTAGCAGTGTTCATGTTGTGGACTTGTAGTCCTGTGTGGGGAAGAAACTTGGGTTTAAGTACTACTTCAAAGGGGTTGGTAGTCCATTCAGTGATGCTAATTTCCTTAGTGCCGTGTGCCAGGTGTCCAGGAGTGCCAGAACATAGCAACTGCTTGATTTGTAAGTGTATTCTGTTCCAAAATTCATTTCCTCTAGGTTGATTTAACATATCCTTAGTTTGTCTGGTCGGTAACCTTTGGAAGTTACTCAAATACAACAGGCTACAAACAGGCCAGTTTCCAAACACAGGCAGTGCTTGAAGAAGGCATCAGTTCACATCTGTCTGCTTTCACAAAAAGATGCAGTTTACTGGTTGTTCTGAAAAGTCACTGAAAAGTAATTTCTAGGCTTGGTAGTTTAGCTTAGTTAATATAGATATACCATCTCTGCAGAGATATCAAAGTTTCATTGATCTGTAAGAAACATTTCTATTCTACAGTAACATCATACTGAACATAATAAAATATTTTGCCTAACTAATTATAATCCAGGTAGAATCTGGTTCCATGTGCAGATCTGATTGGTTTGATAAACTTTATTTTCTGCTCTTGTGCAGAAATTTGCAAATGCCTGGGTTATTTCCATCCCTTTGGTGACTTGGATAACCTAGATAATGTTGTGAATATCACAACCAAAATTATGCTCCTGCTTAATGACACTTTAAAATAATTAATAGGGACAAGAGTTTCATTGAATGATGTGTAGGGGTTTTAAACTGGTGAATTGTGGCGATGACATACATGACAGTCAGCTTCACTGGAAGGGGAGGCTCCAACAGATTCACTTCTTAAGCCATACAGAAGTATAAGAAATTTAGAATAATATGAGACTGCAGGAAATATGAATGACTTCCACAAAATTCCTTGCAAGTAAAACTTTTACACTTCTCCAGGGTGGGTAATGTGACCGAAAAGGACAATTTGCAAACTAGGAAACTGCCACAATTTTTTTGCTCCTTCTGTCATGGATAGTAAGAATTGTGTGAAAGTAATGTAAGCAGTAAGCTCAAAGGTAGCAGTAAAAGTAAAGAAAAGCAGAGATGTATTTAACCCAACATGGGAAAGCAACAGAAGCATTTCTGTTAAATACTTGTTTCTTTGTTTTGTCTCATGTTTAATCTTATGCCAAAAAAAACCAAACACAAATCAACAACAAAAAAACCCCCACCAACATACCAAAACCGAAAAGCCCAAAACAGCCTAAAAAAAGCTGCTGCAAACTTTATATCCCCAGAAGTGATTTGTGACTACTGGAGTTACACAGCATGGTAGTAGGGAAAAGTCTTCCTCTTGAACAAAACCTTACATGCTTTTCTAAAGCTGCTTCCCTCAGTTTCGTATTCTGGCAGGTAGAGAACTTTCCTTTGTGATTGAAGGTTTCTGGTATGTGTTTGTGCTGTGTTGGAGTAGATGTGATGGGTTGTGGAGAAGTTGTTTGACCATCTCTTCAAAATCCCAGGCTGTTGTCTTGCTCTTGGTAGTGTCATGTGAAGAACCTCAGAGCAACTTGAGAGGATTTGCTGTTCTCTCTCAGATGTGAATGTTGAAAACTTCTGCTGATACTGTTTTCTGCTCTTTGTCCTCAGTTTCATTTATCAGGCATTGTGTGGAAAAAGATCTTGCAGGAATTCCATTGAAATTGCACGTTTGTTCAGCAATTACCTATTTTTTCTAACAATTCAACATGAAGTGAAAAACTTGTGCAAACAGGTCAAACATGTTTTACAGGTATATTTGGTGCTTAGTTTTATGGGGTAATGTGAGTAGTGCAGGATATCTGCAACTTCATTTTTCAAAAACAAATGTGAAGGGAAAGAATTTAAAAGATAGTTACCTGCTGAGCTGGATAGGTGATTCATCCAGAGTTGATTTAATGTACTTCAGATTTTCAGCTTAATTTTTTTTGTGTACTTCAGTAAACTAAATGCTCTTTGTAAAGGTGTAGATGGCCTCACTTGAATCCACTGAAATGTACAGTAGCATGTTTTCAGTTTCGTCTTAAAAGTCTGATCATCTGGCACAGGTAGCTGTGCTGTGTCCTACCTCAACATCTGACTACCAAGCTCAGGCAATTTTAGAGGACTTTCATCTCAAAGATACGAGGTTCTTGAGAGTTTAAAAAGAATGAGTACCTGGAAAGAGAGAACCCTAGTAATATCCCGGGGAGAGAAACTATAGCACAAGTGTATTTCACTTGGCTAGTGAGAAGAGCATGCATGCAGGACAGAAGTCAGGAAACTTTGATCAGTGGTTGGCATTTATTAGACACGAGGAGTCTCACAGTGGGACAGTGTCAAAGGAAACTAGATCTTGCTGGGTTTACAGGTCATAAAACTATTAATTTCACCTTACTGTAGTCCCAGAATAGCTTCATAGAGTTTTTAGCTGTTGTTGGAGGGAAAATGCTCTTTGTAGGCCTTTTATCTGATTCCTTGCAGCTGTTCTTAAGTTAGATAGGGACTTATGACATAATAGGGTTTATTTTTTAATTTTTTTTTTAATTCACTGACTGGTTTAACAGACGTTGTCTCTCTTTAAACTGAAGAAACAGTTGTGCTATGGTATTGAGCTTCATTCTTACAATAGGTTGTATTGTATCTTGTTTTCAGATAATGTTTCTTCTTTCAGTAGATATGATTTCTGGATCAAACACTTGTGTTTCATCTGAGGAGACACTTCCTCTCTAGCAGGCAAAGAGCAGAACTTGGTAATTCTGCCCTCTTTGCTTGTTAAAAAAAATATTTTCTGTCCATTTTGTTACACATACTTAAGGATTTTAGCAGGAAAAAAAGAATGTAGAAGACAGGGAATACATTATTCCAGTCACGCTTGACAGGGGAGGGTACAAACACTAAAAATACAGCAGTGCTCCACAGCTCTCCATTTCAAGCTCCTTTTGTGCAGCCATGTGTAAGAAATTCAAATCCAGAACATTTTGCATTCATAATGTCACCTCGTTTTTCTTTCCCTGTTGCAGATTTGCAAGCATTTCTGTTTCAATCTTACCATCGTTTTTCTACAGAAGAATCTGCCCATCTGGATAAGAATTAATACAAAAAATGAGAAGCCAAGACTCAGGGCAGGGGGTCTCCCAAAATCCATGTGTATTACTTCCCTCTCTTCCTCTACTGTAGCAGATTATATCTGGCCTCCTTCAGTTTTCCCACTGTTTCCCTGCAGAAGCAGTTTAGTTTTGAATGCTGGTAGATGTCAGGACATGTCTTGGAAAAACAAAAAAATCCACAAAATACATCTTTTTTTGTATGTTCCAGTGAAGAAACAAAATACTCTTGGTGGTGTGAAAGGGACCTTGAGAGGTCACATATCTACTCTTTTGTCATTCAGTCCTTATGAAGAATGGTTTCTCTGGGTAGAGATAACTTGTTCTAACTTGTACTTTAAAACCTGTGATTATACAGATTTTTGCAGTCCCTCCCAAGAAATGTATGTCAATGCTCCAGTTATTACCTCTAGCAAAAAGATCTGCTGGTTCTTCCCCTCTTCTCCCCACCTGCTGAGCACCAGCATGTTTCTCACATTCAAGTAGGTTGGAGGTGAGGGGGCTGTCAGTGGGAACAGTGGTGGAAGGTGGAAGACAAGGGACTTAATCTAGTCCAGCAATGCTTTGTGCTATTTTTCATGCAGCTTTGACTGTTGTTCTTGAGTTATTAATGTCAGGCACATTGCATTATTTCCCTTCCATTTAGACTGGACTCACTTTCACAGTCTCTGTGCTATCCTGTTGCAGTGCAGAGTAGATCAGAAGTGTCTCCAAAGGAAACCACTGACTGATCATCTGCTAGACCTTCTGCTCTTGGATAGTCAGAGTAAAAGCAGTTTAGGAGTGAGTGTTACACTGCTGTCTCTGCAGTCCTGAATAAAGCTTGAGGTGTTTGTCATGCTGTCAGCCTTGGAAGCACCTGCAGAGTGAGCTTGTGACTGGCACTGAAGAAATGCTGGTGGAAAGGAAGGAAAACCAAAAGGATAGTACAAGTGGTGGTGTGGGAGAACTTTGGCAGTTTAAAGCTGAACTTGGAGTCTGAAAGAGGGAGCCAATACATAAAGGAACAAAACCAGAATGAAAGCATAGGGAATGGAAATAGTTCAACTTCTCATAGACTGCCTGGTTTCTAAGGTGGCATTTTGTACCTGTGATTCAGTAATACAGAGCCACAAAGGTTGTAACAGTAGTGCTTCAGTTTTTTTAAATTTAAAATAGCCTGATAGTTCTTTGACCTACCAAGAGCCTTACTTTCACCTACTCTACATACTGAACCATTGCTTCTTCCCAGTACAGGAGGTCTGATAATGAGTTATTTTTTATGACAGTGATGATATCTCATCTTTCTGTGTTCAATCTCAATCTTGAATGAAGAATGGAGATACATGTATTTCAGTATAGTTATTATATGAAATTATTTAATGTGCAATTCCACTTATTTTAAGAAGACACAACATCTGCCTCAAGTCTGATCACATATGCAGGATAATAAAATGTATTTGACCACATTTGTGGTCATGTAACAGTAAGAATTTATCCAGCTTTTCCATGCATAAGAGTTCAGCAGCAATTCTTATGACTCTGAAGCAGTGTACAAGGAAAATGTACTATGTAGATAGCTTATATAGTTTGCTGTATAAAGCAGGAAAAACTTAATGATATTTGGAAATGATGATGGAAGAAATTATTCCGTTACACTGAAGAGACATAGGGAGTTTTTTCCATTGAGCCTGCTGCTCTCTTACAGTATATGAAATACGGTAAACCATATGCACTTAGACAGCAGACCTGTCAGATGCACAGTTGCTTCTCACTAAGTTTTGACAAACAAGCTGTTTCCCAGTAGTTTTCTCCAGTAGTTAGTCATGTTTCTTACCCTTTTCTCTCCATGCTGCAGTGTGAAAAATCACCTTTGGAGAGGGACTGGAAAACTTCAGTCTAGAGGGAAAGCTTTTATAGCTGTATACAGTATTGGAATGGAAATACTTCAGTAACCTTTCTGAAAGTCATTGCTTCTACTGGTCTATAATTAGCCACACAGGAAAAACAAAGTCCTCTTTCAAGTCTAGTAGAAACCAAGTAGATCAAATAACAAACACCTAAGTTATTTAACAGCTTCTCCCAAATATGCTGGTCACTGTGATAGTTGGTAATGTAGATCTGAGTGGATAAGTGTCAACTTTAGTAATAAATATTGAACTTTTTGATCAAAATTTCTGCTTCTTTGAGATGTCACTTATATAATTGGGTTTGTTTTCTTTCCAGATAGTATCTGCAGTGCAGTATTGCCATCAAAAGCATATTGTTCATAGAGATCTCAAGGTGAGAAATATTTACCATGTGGAACCATTTCAAAGAAAAGGAACAGGACTTGTAAGACTTTCGGAGATAGAAATGTAATGGCTGCTGCAAGATAGCCTCTCACATTGTGGTCAGATTCAAATCTGATGCAAGTCAGTGTTAGCAGAGAGGTCTTTAAAAAAAAGCAAGCTAGTTTGATAAAGGTATGACAAGCTTTGGTCTCAAACAGAAAACATTGCTATTTATGATGATGAAACTGAAGTATGGCTTCTTTGTAGCTTTGCATGAAATATGGTATACAGGCAGGTTGAGAGAGTTGGGGCTGTTAAGCCTGGAGAAGAGAAGGCTCCAGGGAGACCTTATAGCATCTTCCAGTACCTGAAGGGGCTTCATGAAAGCTGGGGAGGGACTTTTTTTAAGGGCTTGTAGTGACAGAGCAAGGGAGAACTGTTTCAAACTGAAAGAGGGGAGATTTAGATTAGACATTAGGAAGAAATTCTTTACTGTGAAGGTAGTGAGGCATTGGAACAGGTTGCCCAGGAAAGTTATAGATGCCCCATCCCTAGCAGTGTTCAAGACCCTGTTGAATGGGGCTTTGAGTAACCTGGTCTGGTGGGAGGTGTCCCTGCCCATGGCAGGGGGCTTGGGACTAGATGATAGACTAAAGCATACCAAAAGACCTTGCAAAGAAAAGAAAATTAACAGATATTTTTTACCTTTTTAAAAATTAGTAAAAATGGACAATTAAGTAAGGTCATCTCACTGACCATTCTTTCTCTTCCAGGCTGAAAATCTATTGCTAGATGCAGATATGAACATTAAAATAGCTGACTTTGGTTTTAGTAATGAGTTTACAGTTGGAAATAAACTGGACACCTTTTGTGGCAGCCCACCATATGCTGCTCCAGAGCTCTTTCAAGGGAAAAAATATGATGGACCTGAAGTAGATGTTTGGAGTTTAGGTGTTATTCTTTATACACTTGTGAGTGGATCTCTTCCTTTTGATGGACAGAACTTAAAGGTATGTTTTTGTAGAATGTGTTTGGCATGTTTACCTAATGTTTTATGTGAATTGCTGCTTATAGCTTACTGTCTGTTCTTCTGTTACCCAAGGAACTTAGAGAGAGAGTGCTACGGGGAAAATACAGGATTCCTTTTTACATGTCCACAGACTGTGAAAACCTCCTCAAACGTTTCCTGGTGCTAAACCCAACAAAAAGAGGCACTCTAGAGGTAATGGCACAAATAAGATGTTTCAAATAGCTAGACATAATATTTTGCAAACTGTTTTTGAGCTGTAACTTACTAGTGTCGTACCATTCCTGAATAGTTTATTTCAAGTGGGTTCAGGGTAAGGTTGTTGAGTAAAGCATATTACTGTGTTTTCAAAATTTTGTTTGCTGGGATTATAAGACACCTGACTTCATAGTTACTTTTAAAAAGAGTGTGAGACTACATTGCATATCTGTCACATCCCACAAGGTGGGCACACTTCCCCAGAAGTGGAAGCCCCAGTTAAATACCATGTCTCAAAAGGTAGGTGTGGCACATGCCACGAATTGGGCATGTGTAGAGTTCCCCAGAGGTGGGGGTCGACCAGGGGAGATTTGGACTGGATCCCCTTGCTTTCTAAACTGCTGCTCAGAGAGGAGCCTAGATGCAGCTGGATCCAATCCTCCTCTCTTAATTGATCTCTACACAACCCGTTCAGCAAGATTAACCTCTGCATTTCTTTGCACAGTCTTCTAAGAGCAAGATCATTACCCAGGAGGCTTATACAAAACAGTACTTAAAACTGAGGAAGATTATAAAGCTTGTCAAAAGGAAACACATGACAATATCTCTCTCAAGCAACAGAAAGGCCAAAACAACCAGTGTCTGCAGACTTCCATACTCAAGCCTGGACCTACCAGACTTGTCGGAGTTGTCACACTGCTCCTGGTCCTTTATGAGTTTTTAGCTTTCAGCTATGTGCTAGAATACAGCTGACTGGGAGGCAGCTTGGCTTGATGTGCATAGTTGGTTCTACTCAGTGGAGCAAAACAAAACTGAGTAGGTGCTGGGGCTTGTTCTGGAAAAGAAAAATGAGAAAAGGCCTTAGTATTTGGTAGATGGAGAGGGGGAATGAGTTCTTTTAACAGCTTGTTTTCTTTGCTGCTAAGTATATCATACTAACAAAACCCTTTCTGTTATAGCAAATTATGAAGGACAGGTGGATCAATGCAGGGCACGAGGAGGATGAACTTAAACCTTTTGTGGAACCAGAACTAGACATCTCGGACCAGAAAAGAATAGGTAATCAAGTGTTTTTCAGAATATGATGCTGTTTGCATCATGTGGCTGGGTTTTTTTCCCTCTGTCACTCTGTATTTGTTGGCAATTTTAGAAAAAGTAACTCATCTTCTAACACTAGTATTTTATCAGGCTTATGTCCTCACGCTTCATTGTTTTGTTTAATTCTTTATAAATGAACTTAAACACTCAACCAGCCTAAACATCAGAGTGTTTGTTACTTACAGTGTCTGTGTTTGTTTTTAGATATTATGGTAGGAATGGGTTATTCTCAAGAAGAAATTCAAGAATCCCTTAGTAAAATGAAGTATGATGAAATCACAGCCACCTACTTACTGCTAGGAAGGAAATCATCAGAGGTAAGTGCCATTCTTACAAATGCAAAGAAACAAAGGTATCTAAGTGTCCCTCAGCAAAGTTAGAAGCAAAAATTAAAATGATGCTGTGGTTGTTCTCACCCTGATCTGAGTCAGTAAACTCTTGCCTTTGGGCTCCCCAAAACTACCCTGCTTGCTCAACAGTTACACATCTGAAGGACTTTGTATGCCAGTTACTGTCCTGTCTAGCCTAGGAACTCAAGTGTGAATGTGCCAGCTCTTAAGTATTTTAAGAGAACCAAGGAGTAGGGCAAATCAACTTAAAGAAGTTCTTGCCTTGTAGATTAAACTGTCCATATGATATCGAGAGGGCTCAGCATTAGTGGGCTGCCCGTGGTTTCCCTGGTGAAGGAGTTTTCTTGGGTAGTGGGGCTTTTTAATGTATCCTCACTTCCTGTTAAAATCATTGAGAACTGTGAGGAGACAGTACAGAAAGTAGAGGTGGATTTTCTTTTATCTGATCATTCTTTGGGAGGCTGCAGATTCTGCTGAATTTTCACCAAAGACAGCTGCACAGGAGTTTAAGAAGTTGGGGACTCTAAGCAAGTTCCTAGCTGTCACAAAATTTCCTATGTACCAGAGCCATTTTCCTTCTGCCTTCCTGTTACTGCTCCCATAATGTGGTAGATGTTTAACTTGTTTTGTCTGAACTCCTTGTTTTAACATTCTCATTTGTATTGTAGTTGGATGCAAGTGATTCAAGCTCCAGCAGCAATCTTTCACTTGCCAAAGTTAGGCCAAGTAGCGATCTTAATAATAGCACTGGCCAATCTCCTCATCACAAAGTTCAGAGAAGCATATCTTCCAGCCAGAAACAGCGGCGGTACAGTGATCACGGTGAGCAATTCTCATTTTCAGTGTTGCAGAATACAGTGACTTCCAATTCTGTTCAATTTCAAAATTTGTCTCCATCCCCCAAAGGTAAGGAGGGTGACAACATTGTAGCTCACAGCATGGTGGCTAAATAATTTGCTGAATAACTGATATTTTTATTTATTTATTTTGTTATGAAGCCTTCAAACAAAGCTTCTAATGCTGAACACACCAACTTAATTCTCTTATTCTTCCTTGTGTCATCCCTTGCATTCCTGACCATGCTGAGGAAGTTTTGTTACACGAATTGAGAAGAATGTTGCAACCCCCTTTTTCATGAATAGCATAGCACTCCTCCCCCATGCTTTTGGATGTCTGTTCAGCTTTTGTGTTATTCTGACACTAGTAGGTCAGCTTGTGTCTAAAACTTGAAAAAATGTCAGCTTGCCAATATTTCTGGTTTCCTGTTTCCTGAGGGTTGTGTCACTTGATTGTCCTGCAGAAATTAAATTTCTAAAGATCAGTGACTCAGGCAAACTTAGAACTCTTCTGCTTAATGAGTGTGCAGGGTAGTAACTTAGAGGTTTTTAAGTATGTTAAACGTTTTCCTGCCAGACACTAACTCATAAAAGGAATCTCTGTTTAGGTCTACTTTTAAATATCTTAAGTGCATTCAGAGGTTGCTTTCCTTGGGGTGTCTTTCAGATGAGAATTACTATGTTTTGAGATGCTTTTTAATATATTTTAATTATATATTTATATTCATTTCTAAGAGCATGCTTATATGTACACTTTTTGATTAGTTTTATTCAAACAGTAACTGCAAAGTTGTTGTAGCTTGATGTATCCTCTTCTCAGGAGATGTAATTGAGACTACAGAAAAAACAGTCCTGACATCCCCACAGGCAATAATAGCTGAGAGTGTCCAGGAGGATCCTATTGAAGCTCGGGGAGCTGGGGACTGTTGGAGGGGCTGCCCCATTCTCAGGTGTCCTGACACACCCAAGGAGGCTGGTGGCAAACTGCTGCTGCTTCTGAACTGTGGCAGAAGCACAGCCCACCAGTCATTAGTGCTGCTGGTGGTCTGGAGTTTGTGTCACCTGGCACCTGTCTCAGGAGCTCATTTTTGTCAGAAATTGGCTTGAACAGCATGTGCCAACTTCGTGCTAATGAAGGATCCTCTGATTTGAATGAGAGTCAGCTACTTATTAAGTGTCTTAAAGATGATTCTAAAGATTTTCTCCTGCCAAGCCAAACCAGTGCCAGTCCTCATACACTAGAAGACTCCATTAAATTCATAATTCTTTAATGGAAATGAAGTAATATCTTTGCCTAATTAATTCAAATAATTGTCTGTTCTTATGGCCCTCCTGTCCTTAGCAAGGTAACCAGAAGAGTTATATGTCTTTGAATTGTGATATAAGGGGAAGCCTTACTGGAGTTGACTTGAATGTCAAATCTGTCAGATTTTATTTTCAAAGTGGGGGGCCTTGCTTTAGGATGTTGTATGTGTGTTGTCATTGCCTCCTTCCTGTCCCCCACCCTCCTTTTAGGGAAGAATAACTACTGGATTTCTGAGAAGAAAAACTGATTTTCTGTTTCTTTTGTTTTTTAAGCTGGACCATCCATCCCCTCAGTAGTGGCATATCCCAAAAGAAGCCAGACTAGTACTACAGACAGTGACCTCAAAGAAGAAGGAGTTCAATCAAGAAAATCCAGCAGTAGTGCTGTTGCAGGAAGAGGAATTGCACCAGCTAGTCCAATGCTTGGAAATGCCAGCAATCCCAATAAGGCTGATATTCCTGAACGTAAGAAAAGTTCGGCTGTTCCTAGTGTAAGTAGAAATGTTTATTTATCAAAACTGTGAAGTGTTTTTGAAGAGTGAAAAAGTGTGATTTATCTGTGGTGTTGGTTTTACTTTTCATTAATCAAGAGTCAATGTAGGTATCTCATACTCTTGACTTTCCCATCCTTCTGTGCATCAGTCAGCTTCTCAAGTTACCTCTTAATATTCCTCAAGTAGTCAGTAGATATTAGTAATTAGCACTAGCAGCTGTTAGAGAACAGGCGTAATTTAGACATAAAAAAGAAGAAACTGAACTCAAAGGCTGTTTCCTGAAATTTCCTAAGGATGAAGCTATTTCTGATACCACCACCTACTCTTCTGTGGCCTCTTGCACAGAAGAATGACATCTTTATTTGTATTATCCTGTTTTATAGTTTCATATGTTTAAGCAGCCACCTAATCTTTGTTCTCAAACAGGTTATTCCAAGTTATAGTTATGTTCATTAAGATTATCAAACAAGTGTAGCTCTAAAAGCTGTTCAAGGGTGTATTTCAATTTGTGTTTAAAACAGTGTGCCTGACTTTTGCCCTTGTGGGCTTCCCCCAGCCACCCTTAAACTACAATTACCACAAAAAATACTCTAAAGTGCTTAGCCATCGAATTTACAGGGTCTAGTAGTAGGCAGTGGGTGGAAAGAAAATCCCTTGTCTGGTTTGGCTTTAACTTGCATACTCTGTGCCCTCTGAGGCAAAGTTGGAAATCTCTTTGTATAATAACTCTTGAGTTTTGTAACATTTAATTTATAAAACTTTGGGATTTTATATTTTAAAACTTGCTTCCTTTCAGAAGCAATAATTTCCCAATCCTTTATTCAACTTGCAATTGAGTGATTTTTTTTAATTATTTTTTTTTAAACTCATCCCACAAAGCTGTCATATACGGTCATATACTCAGCACTGTTACTTAAAACAAATGAGAACAACTTCCTGAGCTCACAGCTTTTTCACAGTCTGAAGCAAAAGAAGTAAATTAAGATTTGTTTCACTTTGTTGGCTCTGTATTGTCAGTTGGCTCAGTGGCTGATAGTGACTTGGCTGGAGGATTTCACTCAGAGATTCCTTGGAAAAGACACGTCTTCTACTGAAGCAGCTGTTATTCATAAATGTGAACAAGAACTCATTATTTTGGGGGATGCTGTTCTGATTTTTGTGGTCCCCTGCCCTTTCCCTTACTGGGTTTTGATCAACTCAGAAACAGTTTAGAATTTCAGAATTTACTTGTTCTTATATGACAGTTCTTAGCTACTGAGTCTCAAAATGGTGGGATAATCAAACCAATTTTGTCCTACAGTGGACTTCACTCAGTATTGTGTAGTGCATTGCATTTCCATCATATTTTACATTGAGCATGTTCAGTATATTGATCTGCTGTTCTGTACCATCCCAAGTCCTAGGGATTTATTCCAGTAGTTTTAATTCAAATTTTCTACTATTGTAGCTGAAATAAAATTTGAACTCACACCCATAGGATAGTTCTTTCTTCTGATTCAACGTGCAGATCAAACTGATCTTTTACAAGTAGTGGTACAAGGTGGTGAACATGGAATCACACTTGTGATGTCACTCAATGTTTTAAATTGTCTCTGTTTATAGCTTTTCATGTCAGACTGTGCAAACTCTTTTTTATTTCTGTTTTTTTTTCCCCTGCTAGAGATTAGTCTTTTGCTTTCTGGCTGTTGGGGATGCAGGGAAGCACTGACTTTATACACAATTCCTGGAAACGATTAGGGAGTTTTATTTCTTACATTATCAGCATGCATCTAGAAGGGAAGAAAGATGATGGAGTTACCATACTGTCCTGAAGTTGAAAAACGTTTGATGTGGAGAGAGTTTGTGTTCTCACTGAGCACATAAGTTCTAAAATCAGTGATACGATGAGAAAATCATGGAAGAGACAGAAAAATACTATGCAAAACCAATTACTATATTGACAGAGTCAGCAAAAATAGTAGAAATGGTCCTTGTTGGAGCTCATTAGCCAGTTGTGTGCTGCTTTCATTAAATATCAAAGCTTACATGCATGCACTTAAGGATAGGAGTTGTTTGTAGAGCTGACAGTTAGGTCTGGGGTTGAAGTAAGGGGTCCAAGCTTGTTCCAGAGCTGACAGAGCATTTAAACTCTTGCAAACTAAATAGTTTTGCAAGCCCAACAAGTGCATGTGATTCATTGGGTAACTACCACATTAATAATGAGAACCTGCTACAGGGGTCTATGCAGCAACTAATAACTCCTTGTTTTAATAACTCCTTGTTTATTACCCACAGCTTTGGATTCTTCCTCAGTGCTTGTGATAAGGCTGCTCCAGGGCCCTTAGTATATAGCATTAAGAAAACTGCATTAAAAAGCATTAAGGTGTGTTTGGAAAAAAAACATACTAGTGCTCTTAAGTAAATAGATTCAAAAAGTCAAAAGCTGATTCTTTTAAAGTTTTGCATCAGTCCTTGCCTTGGTATCCCATAATGTGAAAATAATCAGCCTAAGCAGTGGGCACAGGACTCCAGGAAAAGAGCATGACTCTGTACCAGAAGTTCACCTTTGTGCTGTGATAGGACTTTGTGTGTAGGCTCAGAAGTCTCAACATGTGCTTTTGCAGTGTCAACACCTCTTGCAAAGAAGGCAGACAGTGCCATGAGGATGAACTTAGGCAGCTAACCCAAACCCTGGAGGTTGTCATTCCATCAGAGAGCATAGTGCTGTTGACAGTAGCTTCAGGCTTCCTGTGCTGTGCACCTGTGCAACTTAGTTATGTCCAGAGATGAGTACTTTGTGTGTTGGCTGAACAAAGAAGTTGTAGCTGAAATACCTCCTTGATGAATTGTGAAAGGAGGTCATACACTAAGAAGTGTAAAGGCACCAATACCAAGACTGTTTCTGCTACAACTGAAATTTGAAAGCTTGAAATACTTAAATCTTCTCTCACAACCTCTGACATCTTAGCCAGACAGAATAAAAATGTATACTGATACTTGTGTCTGTGCATTCCAGAAAAAGAGATGGGAAGCTGTATCTTTAGAGTCCTCTTATTTCAGATACAAATACCAAAACTTGTCCACTCCCAAACCTGAAAATTTAAAGTTTGATCCAGTGCAGGAATTGCTGTCTTCATCACAGTATGTTTTAATATGTGTGATGCCTTCTCAAGGGAAACAAATATTTACTATTCAAAGGAAGCCGCCCATTATTGTGATTTCCCACGAGAAAAAACACTCTCAGTTATGGCAAGTGCTTAATTTTCTATTATGTTGAGGAACACAAAACAAAATGATGGGCTAATACTAGTATTTAATAGTTCAGTGTGCCACTGGTTTGCAAGGGTGCTGCAAGTGTCTTGCACAGCATGGCTTCATGATCATGTAAACAAAACTTTACCTTGGGTGCACAGCTTTCATTGCTAGCACAAGCACAATCTTGTGATTTTAATTAATAGTTCTAATCTAAAGAACTCTTTCTATGGTTTGTACTTTTTTTAACACCAGGAGGTTGACAGTGGACATTTTCATTTTAATTTCAACATTCATATAATGATGTGTAACGGATCAGGAGTCTGTTAAACAGACAGGATGGCTTCATTGTTAAAGCAGCACTGTTTGAGACTCCCTGTATAGGAAATATTTTTCCTGCAGGCAGTAGAGGAGCTTTTGCAGGTTATTGAGAATACTCGACTTTAACAGTTTTATTTCAGGTTTGGAAGCAAAAAAGGTTTGACTACTCTCCTTTTGTGCTTGAACTCATTTTTCCTTTTTTTTAATCCTTCTTCCCATTATTCTGTACTGTGACCATTTATGTGAAACATTTTCTTAATGCTGTTTTGAAAATCCGCTGAATTTCCCTTGTCTGTCATAGCAGTAATTCTTCAAAGAGCTCCAAAAGGTTAGTTGAGCATGAAGTCCCCTGCCTGATTCTTAGTGGCCATCCTTAACTCAACATGTGCTTATCCAGGTGCTGACCAGTCATTCCCTTAAGCAAGCCTCCTCCAAGACTTTCCCCAGCAGTGATATTTCAAGTTAATACCTATTTTGCTTCCTGCTTTGCCCTGTGATCCTTTTCTTTAAAGAAAATTCTTAAAGGTGTTTTCTCCACTTTCCAACCATATGCAGTTTCCTGTGTTATGTTCTTGGGGCGGGGAGGAAAAGTATAAGGCTTGCCAGCTTTTACTTCCTCTACAACCTGGGGGTGCATGTTTATCTGGACCACCATGCTTTTCCTACAGTCATTGCATCTAACTTTTAATAATTCTGTTATCTGTGAATTACCTAGCTTCTCAGTCGTTCCTGGAAAATTGACCGCCAACTTGGGCATATCTCCACCCTCTTTCTCTGTAAAGACAGAGGCAAAGTAATTCTATTTCTTTTCTCCCCTCTAAAGTAAGGTCTGTAGTTTAAGTTCCCCTGGTTCTCTTGTCCTCAATGTATTGTGCTTGCATTTAAATGTATATTTAAAAAAATGTCTTACTACAGTTCTCTGCAATTTGTCTCTTTATTTTGACTTATTATTCCCTGTTTTTAAAGCTTGTCTAGTGTTTAATAGTATTTTAAATATTAAAAAGTCCATGTTTACCTTCCCACTGAATTTTACCACATTTGTTTCTTAAGTCTTTGCTTTTCCTGTCTTGTTTAAGGATATGATTTTAACTTAAAGGAAAATTCTACAGTCTACAAGTGGTAAAGTATTTCAAAAAATAGACCATAAAGATGGCCAGGCTATCCAGATGTAAAAGAATGCTATACATGCTGAGAATTTGTAATTGAGAACATTGATAATTAAAAACTTTACGCAATAATAATTTTGAGCCATCAACATGAAACGTAAGAACAACTTGTTAGAATGATGCCTTGTTCCTTAAAAATACTGGATGGAGGGTGTTTGTATAATAGCTTGATTATTTTAAGTTTTATAACTGTGTAGAAATATTATGAAGTAAAAAAGCCTTCAATCATATGTAGGCTTAATTCCAGAAAAGCTTTTTGTGGGGAATAACAAGCCTATGTTTTTTAATTGTAGAATAATACTGCCCCCGGAGCAATGACACGGCGCAACACATACGTTTGTAGTGAAAGAACCACTGCTGATAGGCATTCAGTGATACAAAATGGCAAGGAGAACAGGTATATGAAGTCTTCCTATGGTGTATGTCCCTTGTCTTCACATTTCAAAAAAACTGTAATGCCTAATTTAAAAATCAGTTATATTCTAGTGTAATTCTTAATGAAAGGTGAGTACAGATCTTTGGTTATGGAGTATCTGTAAGTATGTTGAGTTTTTTCCTATGCTTAATTCATACAGTGTTTATACTTAAAATTAAAAGAAAGATCATAGTTTCTGGTTAAATACATGTCATATTTATACAGTCATCTTCTCAAATCAATTGTTAATTCCTGTGATCAAACATATGTTTGTAGAAGAGGCTTGTTTAATGTCAAACTACAGAGTCTGTCTCTTGGGCGATTCTCTTTTTACATTTCACTTTAAACTGTACTTTGTTGGGATTGTTTGGAATACTGTTTTTTCTATAAAGTTTTGGGGAGAAAGTCAGTTTTTTTCTGAGCAGAGATGAAACAGTGATAGGCCATTGTCTTGGACTAACAATGTTCCTTAGTGATATCCCTGGAGTCTAATTGCTTCCCCGTATTTAGAGAACTCCGTCTTGAGAAGGGAAGCACTGATACCTCTGTATTCTGAGAGAGAACAGTCATAGAAATAACAGGTTTCCTCTTACTGTACTGATTGAAAGCCTGACTGGAGCATGCTGTGGAATTGGAGTTACAACCAATTCCTGTGTTAGCACCATAGCCACATCTAGTACCACCATTCCCTGTGTACCAGAGACTGAGGAGAGCTGTAGAAAATAAATATAACAGTGAACGTAGACATTAGGTATATAGAGTAACACCTGTGAAGAATAACCACCACTTTTCCTAACTGCCTGAGATGTTTAAAGTTGCAGCCAACTGTTCCTCACAGAACTTTACTGGTCTTAAAAGCTGGTAAAAATAAAGTAGTGGACCACTGCCAGAAGAGTGCCCAGACAGCTAGTACTTATAAAAGATGCTTGGAGCTTGGAGGATTGTGTTCCTTACTCCTACTTTTCCCAATTTTCTCCACCCCTTCCTTATTTTATTATATATTGTAAAGGATCAGAAGAAAATACTTTTCTTCTACCTCATGTTGAAGTTAGTGAAAGATCTGCCTTTTTTTCTCATAATTTTTTCTCTTCCTTTCAGCCATTTATGAGGAAAAGTGGCAAAGTTGTGGTGTTGAATGGAAAGTCTGTCTGTCCCTTGTTTGACCCCTGGAGCATAGGGATATAAAGAACATAATTTTAACCATGTCTCTTCCTCCTAGCTTTCTGCAAACTGAAAGTGATTAAGGAAAAATACAAGTATAAGTTTCAAGAGTGTCAAAATCTAACTGGCTAGCTGGGCCTGCAGTCAACTGTGTGTGAAGTACAGCTATTTGGTACTGTCTCTTAGGTGTGTCTGTCTCAGCCTTCATTGGTTAGTCCTTGTTAACATTACCAAGTTTGTTTAGATTAAAGCTTACCATCCTTTCTTTGATTTTATATGTTTATAGCTTTTTTCTTTCCAACTGTCTGAAAAATGAATCTTACTGTCCAAAGTACCTTTGATCAGAATTGATTATCTGATTTCTTGGTATAATAACATTTTTGTCCATCTTTATAGTAGTATCTTTTCGATATCTTGGACTACAACTTCTTCATTACATTTTATTAGATATTATTTATTAGGAATGCTTGATGTTCCTTTAATTGCAGAGTAACTTCATACTCCTAAGAAGCTGTCTTCTGAAGTTATTTCCCAGCTTTTGATTTTCTCAGCAAACTGCTGTCTTTGTGGTTTGTCATGTATGAGCATTAAGCTCAAAGTTAATGCTGAGTAATACTTGGCAACTACATTAATTCAATTTTATATCCATAATTTATTTTTCCTTACGTAATTTACCTTCTATTGTCAATACAGTATCCAAGCATCATTTGCTTATCCTGCAAACTTTAGTCCTATTTAAGTCATTTGAAATATGTGAGCATTTCTATTTTCACTGTAGGGGACAAAAATAATACTTAAAGCTTTTATTGTGTATTTTTTATTACTAATTTTGTTACTCTTTTTAGAGGGTTAAAACAAGGAAAGATTTGGCACAGAATTCAGAATTTGTCTGAATATATTTTGCTGTAAGTGAGCAAAGGCTTGACTAGTCACATGAAATGCAGAGACCTTTAATGCAGGTTAAATAAATATGGCTATTGATGGGACTGGCTCTTCAGAAGGAATTCTGCCTGCCTTCAGGTGTTGCTCTAGTATCTCTAATATTACTGTACTTTCAACTTGGCAGAAGGTAAATTTAGAAACTTGTAATGGTTTTTCTTTTGTGAAACAAGATCTGAAGTAGAACCTGACCTTTCTATAAATCCAAGGTTTTGTTAAAAATGCTTTCTGTGCTTTTATAGTGTGCATTGGTGGCAAATATTAAAGGCAGGAGTAATTACTATAAATTATTTGTTAGAAATTGGATTTTTTGATTTTCTGTAGCCAATTAGATACCAACTGTTACCCAGTGAAAACTTGGACGACTTGCTTTAATAGGCAATATGTGCAGATTTTAAGTCTCTTCTTTCTGTAGAGAAAGTGTTGAACCATTGCCTGTTTTGGTTTTATTTTGCACATTGATTTCTGAAGGTGTGGAAATTTTGCAGCATCAGTAGTCAGCATTGATGTTGAAGAAAGTAGTCTTGAAGACCCCATGCCAGAGCGGTAGAAGCAAAGGTTTTTCAAGTCTCACATCCCTACTTTAACACACTGTGTGGCTGACACAGACATTCTGCTGGAGATGACTCTGTTGGCTGTCCTCCAAAGCCTGAGCATTAATTAACGCACTTGGGGACTCATGAAACACTCTTCCTAATGATAGGCAATTGCTTTCCATCATTTTGTAACAGAAATTATTTACAACAGCCTCAGATTTTTAATAAGCCTTGGCACTAATTGGTGAATGTCAGCTCACTGTTTCTGGGTTCCCAGGCTAGTAATCCAAGGAAGCTGATTTCTAGTAGAGCTTCAGAGGGAGAAATGTAAATGTTTTAATATGTGCTCTAGTACCTTAATGACACCTTTAGCTATCGCATCTTTGGAGGCAGAGAACTAAATAAAACTTCAGTATAATATGTTGTAAAACTAGATTTTGTCCTTTGTATTATGCAACAAATTGAGAGGAAAAGAGCTAGAAGTAGTCGAGAGGCTAGTCATCATTTAGTTGGTGACTACCTGAGTTCAGGGTGTTGCTTTTGTGATTAATATTAATTTCCTTAAAATGTCTTGATACCCTTGGGGTAATGTAAAAGCTGGGCTGTGTTGCAGGCTTCGTTGAGGTAGTGGTTGTAGTTGGCACCCTGCTGGATTCAGCAGTGTGAAGAGATGCATGCATGACTCAGATGAAGTTCTCTAGATTCTGAAGAGTTAAAACCCAAACAAAAAGATGTAGATTTTGCTAACCATTGTAGCCAGCATGATGACTGAACTGAGATGTTTTCTACTAGTGCTTTGAGATCTAAGCCTGAGAAGTGGGTCAGCTGATGCTTGTAACCAGACTAGCATTCTCCTCTCCAATGTCTGACATACCAGAATGAGATAATAGGACTTGAATTTCAGTGTGTGTAAGCATGAAGTGACTTGGAAGTGAACATGCAGTGTCATGAAACTGTCAGTTACAATATTCTTACTTTTAAAGCAAACTTCAGATGAATTATATATGATGTGGTAGCCTGAAAGGCCCAATACATCTAGTAGCCTTAGTTTTTTCCCATCCTTATCAGTACTAGATAATGTGAAGGCTGCAAAGAATATTTTGGCCCAAAGAAAGAGAAAAGATTTAATGGTCCTATTTTAACATAGTGTACAGCTGGCAGCATACTGCCATTCTGCTAAGACAGCACTGTAGACCTTCCTTCAAAGCCTGAGTGGTAATTTGGAGAATTTAAGGTTCATGACCAAGCAATGTGTGATGTTCTCAAATGGTCATACCTCTTCCTTCAGTGAACACCAATTCATTGCTTCCTACATGTGCAGCTTGAGTAATTATAGCCTTTTTGTTTGGGCCCCTCTGGGCTTGTTAAAGATGATTATGTTGTTGTTTCTGATTGTGCCTGTGATGTCTCTCAGCTACCAGATGTAGATCAAGATTTGACAGCTCACCCAACTTACACTGATTTGTTTTAACATGGATGTGTTTTGAAAACAAAGTGTTTTGCTGCAGTGATGGAGCTATCATCAGTCTTTTTGAAAGTGCAGTGGTGTTTTTTAATGCATTTTTAAATGTTAAGAGCAATGCCAGATATATCAGTGCTTTATGCTAGTGCTTTGGCACAGAACACTGAATTACTCAGGTTCTGTACATCAAGGAGGGTATCACCACAAAATAATACTGATGGTAAGAGAATGATCATTTCATAGATGCCAAGTGCTATAGTAAGGATGCTTTTTAAGGGGAGTATAGGGTAGTTACTGCTGTTTACATAGAAGAGGGCTGTTAGAGTTCGTGTTCTTTGATAAATCAGTTAATAGAAGGAAAAGTTTGCTTTTTTTCTATGCAGTAGTTTGTTGTTGGTCCATCATGCTCTTCTTTCTGCCTCTGCCTGAACCCAAACCCCCTCACAGCCTGACAGAAATGTTCGCTTACGCAGCTAGCCCTGCTTCAGTTTGCACTACATCCTTCTCCAGTGTTCGGCTGCGACATCAGAAGTCGATGTCCATGTCAGCCTCTGTGCACACGAAGATGATGTTGCCTCCAATAGACAATGGCGCAGATAACTTCAGGCCTATGTAAGAACCTGAAATCATTGTGAAACTAACTTATACCCACTGCTTCTTAACTTTGTGCTGTGGAATTTTAGTCCTAGATTGTTCTAGTATATATTGCCCACAAGATGTGTGTTTTCTCATTTTTTTAGTCTTGTTTATATTTGTCTTGTGGTGTATCAGGCTGTCTGTGACATAATCCTGCAGTAACAAACCTTAATTTTTTTTCCTAGTGTTAGGAGTATTGGACATTCCATATTCTCAAAGTTTGTGGGAGACTTTTAGCTGTGTTATTCTGAAGGACTTCATTACTTGGAGTGGTTTGCTTGTAGAGAATTTTGTGTAGGATACTTTTCAAATTAGCAAGATTTTCAAAGATGTATTTATAGAATGTGGAGGGAGAGACACTAAAGTTACGTATTGCTTCTCTTTCCTGGGACAAAACTTTACTCATCTATTCTTCTATCAGTCTTCTTAGTGAAACATTGTATGCCTAGTTTATCTTGTCTTCTCCAGGATACTCTTTGCATTTTTCTGCCTATGTAGGTTTCTGTTTCGGCAGCCTTTTAATCCTAACTCCTTACAAGTTTTGATTCCATACAGTGCTACAATAACGTTGATATTTCCAACCCTTGCCTATATAAAAAGTGTCTGCTTATGCTTTACTGTAGAATGTAGTGTTTTGTGTTTCCTGCAGAGCCATAGTGCTTCTGTAAAGAAGTTCTAGCATTGTTTTTTGTTTTCTGCTCTAGCACTATTCCCGATCAAAGAACTCCAGTTGCTTCAACTCACAGCATTAGCAGTGCGACCACCCCTGATCGTATCCGTTTCCCCAGAGGAACGGCCAGTCGGAGCACGTTCCATGGCCAGCTCAGAGAGCGACGTACTGCTACCTACAACGGGCCACCAGCCTCTCCCAGTCTGTCCCATGAAGCAACACCACTCTCACAGACCCGAACCAGGGGTTCAACTAATCTATTTAGTAAACTAACTTCAAAACTAACAAGAAGGTAAGTCTCCTAAAATCATAATGCGGTATTTCCTTCTTCTCAAGGAGTAGGCATACCTGGTAGGTCATTGCTTAGGTTGTTTTATCTACATTCTCTGGTTAATGGCTTAACAATTTCTGCAACTTGAAATGCACTGGTTTATGATTTTTTCATAGCACTTTGTAGTTACAGAAGCCATTTGTTTTTAGCAGTTGAATTAGAAGGGATGAAAAGCAAGACAGCTTGGTCTGTGCTGTTTCTTCTGTGCTGTTCATCTGAGGTACAGATGCTGCAGAGCTGAAACATTTTGGCTCAGTTCAAAAGTTGCTTACTCAGACTACATGGTCTTATTAGTAGATGGCATAATCTTTAGTAGATGGAATATGATCTATAAGGTCCCTTTCAACCCTAACCTTTTGTATGTTATGATAAACTAGGGTCCCAATCTTGATTGTTAATGTCACAACAGAAGCTCAGGTTGCATTTCTCAGTCATTAGGCTATTAATATTTCCAGAATAATCTTGCTGGTAACACACAAATAGAAGTATCACAGGTGAAAAGGGTAGGGGCAGGAAACAAAAGCATCTTTTGGCAGTAGAGCTACACAGGTCATATTCAAATAATGGCAGTACTATGGTTTCAGCCTAGGCAATGGTCAGGTCAAACCTTGAAAAACTTACTCCTGTTTTCACCTTTAGTTCATGTGCAGGTTCTGGTTTTGGTGTGAAGGTGTGTTGTCTAGCCAAAGCCTAGCTTAAGCAGGTATTGTTACTGCACAATCAGTTTTTATTCTGATTGGACTTCTTGTTTCAAATTCAAGTATAATTTTAAATTAGTTCCTACAAACCCTAAAATTGAACCCTCCCTATTTTCTTTCCTTATTTAAAACCTGTTGGTCCACATACCACATACCTCAGACCACTCCGATATCCACAGCTTGTGTTTGCAGAAGTGTGGCTTTGTTTATCTTTGCCTTAAGATAATCTCCATGCTTTTGTGTACCCCCCTCATCATGTGAAATTTTGTGGAATATATCATTCTGGTCTTGGCCTGCCTGCTTTTGTTTTAGGCTTGTATCACATCAGCACCAAGCTATTTCCTTCCTGTCTGTTCTGTGACTATACATGCCCCCCTCTCACCATCCTCTTCATAGGCTTCTATTCCTACAAATAATGCTAAGCCAAACTCCTTTTTTTTTTTTTTTTTTAAACTGGCTGATTTCAATTTAGAGAGTAAATTTGTTTAAAAATGTAGTTGTTTCTGTGAAAAACAAAAACTTGACAGCCTAACCTTTGGTAAATATTTTACACTGCTCAGCTCTCTGCCAACTAACACTTCCCTGCTTTTGTGGTTGTTTTTTTTCTTTTTTTTTTCCTGTTGAGAGATACAAGATTAATTTGACTTTTTTATAACAATTAAGTCATCTGCTTTTTGTCATGTGAAGTCTTAATCAAAGTCATCCTTTTGGCACATCTTTCTTTCTGTACTTTTGTTTGTAATACCCTTACTTAATTTTCCATCTGATGTTCCAAATGTGGACATTCAAACTGTGAACATGCAAACTTTTCACTTATGCTGCTGGAATATAGTGTTTAATATTGTGTGTCACTCAGTCATTCAGGCAGTGTTCAGACTTCTGTCATTACCTCCAAGTTTTAACTTTTGCAGTGCAGCGTGGTTGTCTTGAAGTTTTTTCCCTACTACTTTAGCCAATAGTTTAAATTCCATCTGGACTTGATTAAATCATGTGCAGCTGTCACACAATAGCACTGTTGCAGATTGTTAAGTTTGCACTTGGATTGCCTCTTATGGTTGTGGCTCTGTTATATTAGGTGCTGTACAAACCTAGTAAGGATGTGGATGGTCCCATCAAAGGACACAGTTCTGTCTCTTCTCTTTAAATAAAATATTTTTTTAAAACCCCTTCAAACCTATTAATTCATTCTAACATTCTCTATGGGGGATCAGAATCCTTTTGATTATTAACTTACGTTCTGGTGTAGGCAATTGTTACAGCTTCTGCCACTAAATTAACTAAATATTTAAGGCAGTTTTTGTCACAACATGGCTGATCTAATACTATAAAGGGAGGAAGAAACCTAATTCTGAAGATACTCAAGATCTAATTATAGTAGAGTTACTGATTTATTTTTTTCTTTCTATTTGAAATACATGAATAAAATGCAAACATATTTTAATGTGACCTTGCAGATTATGAGCTTTAAAGTGTATTGACACCAGTATGTATTTTAATTCATAATAACTACTGGTGGCTTAGTTCCCAGAAAAAATAAGTTTGGAAGTAGGAATGCTAAGAGTTTGACTCTCCAGACCCTAAATGATCTGCCTAATGTCAGAATGTATTGAAGTGTAATTTCTTTGTGCATTTTAAATGAGTCTTTTTGCATGTTTCACTCTAAATGGCTTTTTTGATTTATTTTGTACAAAACTTTTTGTTAATTATTATTTTGGCTTAATTTCTTTTAGAAACATGTCATTCAGGTTTATCAAAAGGTAGGATTTATTTATATTTAAAAAAAATTGGCTCCTGCAATTAACAACAGATTGGCTTTCTAGCCTTGGTTTTCTGAAAACTAAACTTTCTGCTGAGAACTAAATACTTTCTTTCTTGAGAGGAAAGCATAGAATAAATCCATTAACTCATGATGATCCTTAAGAATCTGTGGCACCTGAATAACAAAGATGCTAAGCATGCCTTGTGAATTCTTCTCTCTTTGATAGAGTTGGTAGTACCAAAGTAATTCTGTTCTCTGTACTAATACACTTAGCATGCTTGTGTTTGAAGAATGAGGTGTTTGATAACAATAATGAAAGTTTAAACAAAACATAAGGTTACAAGCAAATAAAGGTAAGTGATGCTAAATTTATGTTCTCTCTTTGTTTTCTGATATGTTCTAAAAATCAGTTTGAAGTGTTGTCTGCAGTTGATACAGTGGAAAGCAATCTGAACACTGTTGTGAATCTTAACAGATTTATATGGAAGACTGAATGAAGATGCAATGGCTGCATATTTATTTTAAAATGGGATGCATTTGCTGAAGTAAATTGCAGCTGAAGTGGAAATAGAGTGCTTTACTTACAATCAAAAAAACTAACATCTATGCAAATTTATTAACAAAAGAGAAAAGCTCAAAAGTCTGATTTGCTTTTCAAGGCCAAAGGATTGAATTTAGTTTTACAATTTTGGAATGAATCAAGCTGCTGTGAACCTTCTTATTCTGTTCTGACTCATGAAAGTAGGTTATACAGTTTTGCTCCATGGGTAAATTTTCCAGTAGAATTTTGTCATACTCTGGTTAAATCATGTCATGGAGCTTCTTAAAGGGTCATACTTTGAATTGGAAACTACTTAGCAAAAATAGAGAGACAGGGGCAGGAAACATCTATTTTAACTTTCAAAACTCAAAACTGTGCTTTTGCCTAATTTGGAGTTTGTCAAACCATTTCAAGGAAATACTTAGATTAGGGAGATCAGAGATATATAAATTGCTGTTTCAATTTGAGTTTATTATGTACAGTTTGAGTCAAAGGGTACTCCCCTGGTTAAATGAGTAGATTCCACACCACTGTAGTAATAACCAGGGCTCTTCCAAACATGACTGTGTTTAGAACCAGCGTTTGGTTGGGTTGGCTGGCATTGTCACAGCTGAGAAAAGGAACATGCACCAACTGTTGCTTAAAGAAAGAAACCATCCAGCCCTGTATACAGATGGACCTGAGCAGCAGCAACAGCTTTAATTCAATATGCATCATGAGCTGTGGGGTGCATGCCACTTTGTAAGAGGGAGCTTTCAGCTCCCCGTAATCACATTCCATGTAAGTAACAAAGGATTATGATTTGTGCAACCTCCACAACTGGATGCATATACCTTTCTTACTCTGCTCTGAGGAAAGGCTAAATTGCTAATACAAGTACAGTTTTAAATTAGAGAGTTACTGTTAAAATTTGAGATTTAGAGAAGGTACATTTTTAAAATATTTTTTTATTTCCTTTGACTTGGGGCTGGGAATCCTACCCTATTGTGAAAATAGCTGCAGCAGTGTCTATGAATGTCTTTTGAAGAAGAGATTTGCAAAGTCTTGCACCACCTACACAGGACCAGACTGTGCTTTTGAAATTCCATTTTAGGAGTGTGGGGTGTCCCTCTTACCTGATCTGTATATAGGTACAAATTTAAATTAAAAATGCTTTGGTAATTTTGTTTTGTATGCTATGAATTTTACCTAAAGTCACTATTTTTGATACAGAAAGAACTACTGTAACCCGACAGCACATTGTAGTGCTGCAGCATCATTCTAGGGAGCTGAACCAAATTAGATAATCAGTTACTCCTTTTTAAACAACTGACTTACAATAATGTACTTGGTGCACAGAGGTATAAGATAGTTATCTATCTCTTGTACCATGCCCTGTCCTTGCCAATCTTCATATTGTGAAAGTCCTAACTTTTTTCCTGACAGCAGAAATCACTTTGTTCTGAATTGTATTGCAGCATCTCTTCTCCATTGCCATAAATTGGTCTTATTTTAGCATCTTGCACTTTTTGCTGGTTTTCCGTATCTCTTTAGACTGTTTTATTTGTGCTTATTTGGATTTTTATCACAAAATATACAAAGATGTAAAGAAAAGAAAACAAGAGAATAACTCAGGACAGATGTATGGAAGCATTCTGTTTTTTAAATGCTTTTCACAGACAATAATAGCAAAACCCATGAAGGAGATAGTGTACAGGCATTGCATGACAAATGAGAACTTTTCTATATATGTATTTGTTCCATTCCCAAGACCAAGGAGTGTCTTGGTCCGTGAAATTCATTTATGCAAAAATACAAGCAAAAGCAGAAAATTTATAACACAAACTAGCAATTTGCAGTTCCCACAGAAGTGAAGGTTATATTTGCAGTGAGGAGGCCTCAGGGCTGCATCTGACTTGCAGCCCCACAAAAACAATACTGGCAGTACAGTAAGTGACTGTTCTCAAGGCACCAGTGCTGGGCTGCAGAACTGGACAATAACCATGTCCTTCATGAAGGGAGGAGTGTCTAGAAAGACTGGCACAGCTCTCCAAAGCTTGGCATGATGGCTCAGATTTGAAGGTGCATGTCACCAAATGCAGTTCCTGCTGCTAAAATGAACAAAACACTGATGCATGGAAAAACTGAGTAAAGTGAGGATTTTCTGAGAGGCTTTCATGAACATGTGTGTATTATTTCAAAGTGGTAGGTATTTTGTAAATGTTTTTTCATAGATTCAGACTGCAGTGATTTAGAAACTGAACAATTAGGCTTAATTTAAACCTAAAAAGGGTCTGAGAACGTGATATTAACTGTAAGACTTTTAATTGTTGGGAAGACCAGTTGTGATCCTATTTTCTACAACTTTTGACAAGCTTAAATCTTAACTAAGATGTTGTCTTCCTCTTTGTAGGCTCTTCAAAGTTAAGATGCTCCCAATTTTTCAGTTAAACAATATCTTCAAATTTGTTGCTGCTTTGCCCAGTAAAATGAGCCTTTCCAAGATCATCTGAAGAGTGTGGATTTGTTCATTTGGTACACATGGTGGTTCACTCCCTTTCCATCTACCTCATCTCAGGTCTACAGAGTTATCATAAAGGATGAGTTCATGGAATGTGTATGCAGACCTTATAAATCTTTTTCCACTTTATCCTATATCATCCATAGCAAAGTAGCACATGATCTTAATCTGCCTACTAAAATGAATCATCAGTGCTATTGACTTTTTAAACTGTTGTCAGACTCATAAAACCCACATTACTAAGTATTAGCTGCAGTCATTTACTTGGGACATGGGCAGGGCTGCAGGCTCTGAGCCAGTTGTGCTCCTGTGTTACCGAGAACAACAATTTCCCCCCCTCTTTTTTAAAAAGGTTGAATTTTAACAATTCTATATAATATGATGCTATGATGAAAATTACTACCATTAAAAACACTTTTTGAAGTGCTAGAGCAAGGTTGTGCTATCACAGTGCTTGTAGGGACTGTACAGAATCATCTTCCAAACCTGTTCCCTCTGCAACCCTCAAAACAAAGGAAATGAGGAAATTAAGCCAGGTAACACCCCACAAAAGCTGATAATATCATAATACTGTACATATATAAAAAAAAGCTGTCTTACATTCCTATCTCTACACACCTGTCAACCAAACTGCTTTAATAGTTGACATTATTCAGTGAAGCCATGTACTAGCTTAGAGTAGGCTTGATAAGAACCTTTTAGCTTCCCTGCAAGCAGAATTAACACTGAGATGTAGAACTGTGGTACTACAGCAATTGGAAGGTAAAGTGGTTTTCCTCCTCATTGCTACTTGATACTGGATTTTAAAAAACCCAACAGTGATCTGCAACGTCGCTTTAAGCAATGCAAAACAGCTTAAGTTTACTCAGATGTTGAAGATGTGTCAGTGAGGAGATGAGTAGGATGGACTCACAACTTGAGAAATCTTGTATTTGCTTCCAAGTCTTGGCTGAATTATATAGACGTCTTGTTTCTTGTGCTTTAAAGTATTGTTTAAACACCTAATAGCTCAGATTTTATGTGCATGCCAAGACACGAGGTAACCAGGCTTATCCGTAAATATTGTTTCAAATATATATTGTATTACCAGACAAAACTTAACTCCTAATTATTTTTAGGCTAATTACATTATTTTTCTTTTAGGAGGTACTTAATAATACAATAACTTCAATATGATTTGTAACTTTAGCTTAACATTTTCTGCTTTTAGAAGTCCAACTTTACTCAGTGAGTTTTACAGTATTTAATATATATAAACGTACACTGTAAAAGTTAGTTATGGTCTTTTTAAAAACTAGCTTACAGACTTCCATTTGGCTTGACCATGTTATATTCTGAATTTGGTCTAACCTATGAAGTTCTTTACATCTTTGTTACTTCGTATTTTGACACACCTTTGGTATGATTGCAGTATCTTTTAGCAGCTGCTCAGATTTTGTATATTGTAGTGTAAGATTTGTCTTCTCTTTCCCACTTCCTTTTGCTTCTGCATTCTTTTCAATGAGGCTCCCGACTGAATATGAGAGGAACGGGAGATTTGAGGGCTCAAGGTGAGGGTAAAATTTTTGTTTAAAATGTTATTTAGGTGAGTTTGAACCTTTCTTCCTGTGATTATGTGGCATAGTGGCTTCAGGCAGCAGCTTTTGTTTTGTGTAAGGCTTTGAAACTAAACAAAGAAGCATTTTTGTCTGCAAAACAGCTGTAAAAGCATTGACTGACTCGGTTCTAAACTTTCATGTTTCCTGTTGCCTTTTCCCTTGTGTGTTTTTTGCATCTTAGTCATTATAATTTGTTGTCTTACAGGCATGTAGGTAAGTGATCTCTAGTGATGCTGCATATATATGGAAGAGCCACTGAGGAGTAATAAGATATTTCTCATTTCCAAAATCACAGATAGTTAAACAATGTTACACTATTCTTCCAAAATCTGCATATCAAAAAAATCTAGAAATTCTGAAACTTGTGCTGGTTCTGCTGCTTTCAAGTAGAAAAAGCTTTCAAAAATAAAATGAGCATTGAATGAAAATTTGTCCCCTCTGCCCCCTTGCAACTGTATTAAATTAAAACCTCTAAGTTAAAACAAAGTATTCTTTAATTTGCTTGCTAAATTTTATAACATGGCAAATCACACCTGGATTTGACAGCATAATCCTATGACTCACAGTTACTGTAAGTCTTTCTAACAGTATGTAAAATTATGAAATAGGGTTTTTTTGAGAGATAATTATTTAGTTTTGACCTTGCTGTCACTTTTTAACTTTTTCATAATTGCCTGCTTAATGGTGATAGAAGAAAAGCATTGTATGACCAGAAATTCATTGCCAACTATTTTGAAGAGCAACTTGATTTAATATTGTAAATTGAGCTTTGAAGTTGAAAGTGAGACCTAAACTGCATGGTTTGGGGTCACTTAGGTATTTTCAGAAAATATTTCAGCATGACAGTGGATATATTTAGATCTCTTGCCCAAAGAATGAATAAACTTTCAAGATGCAACTGACAACATGCAAATATTCATAAAACAAATCTGCCATCTTTTCTCTGGAGGTCCAAATCTGGTTCCTTATTCTTTAGCTGCCTGACCACTGATTTTAATTGGAGTAGAAGAATAACCACAAACTAGAAATTTCTGGAACACTTCTTTTCTTTGTCCTGGATAACCTTATTTACCCTTACCAAAGGAAAAGCTTTTATTATTTAAAGACAAAGAAAGGAAAAAAAAAAAAAGTTGCAGCCTCAGTATTTTGTGCTTTATGTCTTAAAACTGTGACAGGAACCCTCTTATTAACGTTGATGAGGTGTCTCACAGTGACTCCCAGCTCTGTCCTTCATTTGAGCCTCAAGGACACTTACTTGTGTAGCTCATAGCTGTGAAAGATTTCGTCACTTTACCTCTATCAGTTGTTGGTAGTAAACAAATTGCTGCCTAAGTTAGAGACAGGGTAATTCCTCCCTGTTGAAGGTTACCCCAGTAGCCTACAATGTGGTGAGTCTCTAGTGACCATCTCAAACACCAGTGGAGGAAGGGCAGAGTGAAACCAAAACCGTGTAAAACTGGGCAGGACATGTTGGCAGTAGGTGGGTGACCAGTGGCAGGGTCCCCTGGCACAGCTCTCCTTCCTCCTGCTTGTGTCTATTAGGCATGTCATGGGCCCTCCTGGTGCTAGATCTCCAACCTGCTGCACTGGAGCAGGTGCAGAGGAACCTGCAGGTGTTTCTGCATGGGCTCACCCATTTGTGTTTGAGTGGCTGCTTCCCTATGACCTGGCACTCCCACCCTTTTGTCACAAGTCCAGAGTGACTCTGAATTCTCCAGAATTCATTCTCCGAATGTTCCAGGAACTTCTAGCGCAGAGCTGGTGTTTCAGCTGTCCACATGGCCCAAGAAGAGGGGTTTGAGCAGAACCTGCCTTAAAATCAAGTTGTAGGTGATGCATGTAATTCTGCCTCCACCAGGTCATTTCCCTCGTGCTCCTGATGCCAGTGACTTCCAGTTGTGTCACCCGTTGTACCATACCTTTGTTTCAGCCCCAACAGCTAATGCTTCACCTTGACTGTGTCTGTACAGCAGCCAGGGTATTGCTCTCAGCCAGGGTCTCTAGATGTTGCTCTCATACCAGTAGTGTCTGTGGAGTGTTAGTTTGCTTCACTAACCTGAAAGGTGGAGAAGGCAGCTGGCCCTGCTAAGTAATAAATTCCTGTCTTTCAGCCGCAATGTAGCTGTGGATCAGAAGGATGAGAACAAGGAAGCCAAGCCTCGGTCGCTGCGTTTTACCTGGAGCATGAAAACCACCAGCTCCATGGATCCCAATGACATGATGAGGGAAATCCGAAAGGTCCTGGATGCCAATAATTGTGACTATGAACAAAGAGAGCGTTTCTTGCTTTTCTGTGTCCATGGAGATGGGCACGCGGAAAACCTTGTCCAGTGGGAGATGGAGGTCTGTAAACTGCCAAGACTGTCCCTGAACGGAGTTCGCTTTAAGCGGATATCGGGAACATCCATAGCTTTTAAAAACATTGCTTCCAAAATTGCCAATGAGTTAAAGCTGTAACAAGAAAAATAGTTAAGTTGTAAATTAGTTAGCAATTTCAAGTGTTTTTGAGAATTCCGATGGAAATGTATAGAATAACATTTAGGCAATAACTTCTGCATCCTTCTGAATAGTGATATTAAAAAAAAAGCTGCTGAGCTGGGAGGGAGAGTTGGACTTTTTTATAAGTGCACTACAGCATTAAAGTTGCCTACTATGTAAAATATTACCCCTTCTGCTTTATTTCCATTGCTCCTAAGTCTTTGACAACAAATTGAAACACAGAATATATTCATTTAACTATGCCTCCTGTTTGTGTGGACGTGTGAATGTACAGTATGTGTGTATAATATATAAAGTATTATATGTAAACAATTCATTTACAACATCGAGCTGTACCAGTACCTCTTTTTGGGCTAATTTTGGTGCTAAAAATTGAAATGGCCAAGGAGGAGACACTTGAGTTAATATTTAAAATAACTGAAGCGATAACCAGTAAATGCAGGTTTACAGTTCACTGCTCTGTTAAGGAAAAAAAAAAGTGTGTGAAGGGTTTGGATTTACGGTTGTGAACATTATTAGTCCTGTTTTATAAGTAGATCTCATGAGATTATTAAAAATTCACTTTTACTGAGTAAGTTTTGCATTATATTTTGCCCACCTATTTATTATTTAAGTCTGAATCACATTTTAAAAAATGTAGTTGATTTGTGCATTAAAAATATTTGGGTAAACGCTTCCATTCTTCTGCTTCTACTAAACTACTAAGATTGTATCTTTGTCCTTTTGGCTTATGAGCATTGATTGCAGCTGAGAACACTTTTCTGGTGTTCCATTGCTCCTCTACAGCATGAGGCAATCTAAAAGGATGTGCTAGATGCTTACTAGTGATTTCTTCTTTCAGGCCAAGTTCTCTACGTTAGACTAGGTCAGGCTGATCCCAAGCACAAAAGAACTCTCAAATGACCGTATTTTGATGCAGGTCACCACGTCCCGGTCGGTACCGGGCTCAGGTGTTGCTGCAGGTGTGGTGGCAGTACTGTCCTTGGATTACTGGGTGCACACAGTCTTGAAACCCACAAGTGGGAATCAAATTTGCTGCTGATCTCTGTTGTAATTTCCAACTTACTAAACTACAGCCGGTAGCAGTAGCAATGAAATACTTTTCCTTGCAGCTCTCTTCCAGCGTGCTTCCCCTTGGCTCTGGTTGTCTTGCTTGTGGTGGCTTTGTGCCAGTTGTCTCTCTAGCTTCTGCTGCAGGGGGAGTCCACAGTTGCTTTTTAAACGTGCAGTGTGGAAACCCACCCTTGGTGAACTCTCTGATAGCCAACTAGTTTTCTGTAGGACATGAAGCTATTCTGGGATGGTCCCCACTTGTTAACCGCTGCCGTGGTGAGTCAGATTTCATTTTGCAAACTCGAATGAAGAGATTTCTTCATGTGTTGCTTCCTACTGATACTCGGTTCATTTCATCAAGGACTTCTGTAGATAATATCCCACATTATCTACTTGGTTTTTTTGTGTTAATGTTTTATGGTTATATTTCAGTGAAGCACTTAAGCATGTACTTAACGTGTGCTTTAAACTGGAGCCTAAATTTGCATTTTAATTTTGCAGTGAGCTAATAGTTATAGTACACAGTTCAGATTTGACCCGAGGTGAAAATGCAAAATCCTTGCTATTTTACAGATTAGTTCTTGTGATCTGTAGTCTGTGAAGGCAGCAGACTTCCTCTCTCTTTCCCTAAGCATTGATATTGATTATGCTAGTTTAAAGGGTAGTCATAGTTGTTAAATATAGTAAATATTCCTGAATTTGCATTTTACTCTCTGTATATTCTGTATCACACCATGGCTTGAGAACTCCAGGTGCTGCCTGGTCCTTTCAGTGCTCTGCCCATGCCTGTGCTGCTCAGTATGGTTTTTTCCATGAAAACTCCATTTTGTAATAGCAATAAGACATTTCAGGGCAGTCATTGTACTTTCTCAGGTGAATGGTCACCTGTCCTTTCACTTCTTACGTTTTAAGCACTCCTCCAAATGTATTTTTTTCACCTGGCAGTGCACTTTGTTGTCTGAACTGAAAAAAGTGTTCTGATAAATGATGTAAATCTGTATTTGATGGAAGTTCCAAAAGGCTTCATATTAAATGTTTTCTGAAATACTCTCTTCCTACTTCACCTGTTAAGTATGTAATTGCTTCTAGAAAGTGCACAAGTACCACACTTCAGATATTTAAAGTTTGTACTTAAGTATTTTTCTTAATGTGTTCTCAAAAGGTTCTTTCAGAGTAAAATCTGTGTCTGAGGCATTGAAAAAAAAAATTATAATAATCAGAAACAGATTTTTAGCAGCCTTCTTCTCAAATGCCTTGTAAAATTACCACGTTGCAAGAATATGCCCTTGTTTCTTTAGTGTACTGCATGCTTACTGTTCAAGCCTCTAGGAGTTGCCTGGAAAAGAAAACTGCTTTCTTCAGCTCTCCAAACCAGAGACAAACTCCTTCCTGAACACAGACCTTTTTACTTGTTTTCCTTGGGGATCCATGTAGGTTTATCCGCACTGCTCTTGCTAGGACACTGCAGAACTACAACTGGGTTTTCTGGTCTTTGGAATCAAGTTTTTAAAATAATAGGGGGTCAGTGTGTGGTGAGGATGTTGCAGCAGGCAGAGGCATTTTGAGATGTGTGATCTAGCAACCAAGAAGTGGTTTTCTGTAATGGCCTGACTGGTGTCCTGGAACGTGTGTTCTGAATGGTGTGCTGGGAGGGGGTTGCAATGGGCTTATGACTAAAGGTTTTCACCCCTAAAACCCATGTCATCCAGTTCTGAAGAGGTCCCTTGGTTGCTGGGTCTGACAGAGAAAAATGTCATCAGAGTTTGGGTTATGGGGCACTGACTGCTTTAAGAAAGTTTTTAGAGAATAAATAAATGAAAAAAAAAATCTGAACACTGCGCAGGAATAAACAAGTTCAGATACACTTTCCTGTACTTAGGTGCTCTCAAGCATTTCAGTCTATTTTACCTCTTCAGAAGGTCTCGGGTCTTTGACAATGTTGAGAGAAGTAGAGGGAGTTAGGTGAGAGGAGCAGCCAGTCCTGCTGATTTAAGTGCTTTGCTTATTACTTCTTTGCAAGCTAAAGCTTGGATATTGGCAGCTGGTTCAATATTTGTGGGTTCAGAGATTTTCAGTACAGATTTGAGCAAGGTTCACCTTTTTCTCTTGCACTACAGTGAAATTTCAAGATCAAATGTGGTGAGATACTGTATCCCAATTTTTTTTTAATTACAGCATTTTTGTCAAGACAAATTATTTAAAATAGATAATCTTAAATTAGTATCCACATGTTTATGTTAAAGAAACTGAGAGGTTCAGGAGTCCTAGTTATATGCAAAGATTGTAGCAGATCTGGAATTTAAATAAAGAAATCTCCAATTCATTGAAAAGCTCAGCTATACATGAGCCTATTGGGATAATGTGTAGAGGCTTTTAATCAGTCTTTCCCACAGCTGCTGTGTCATACATCATGTGGATTGCAATTTAATTAGGACTGCAGCCAAACCAGAGAACTATTTTCTCTGTTAAGCCCGGGAATGGAACAGCAGTATCTACTTGGTTGTGCTGGTGTTGGTGCCTGAAGGGCTTGGGTATCTCGTGGGTAGGGGCAGAGGCTGCTGTGAGCTCGTGTCCTTCCCTTAAGTTCAGGGGCAGGGTGTCTGGCTGCTTCTTGTTGTGCAGTCTGTGATGAGCTGTCCATGACTGTCCTTTTCTTTGTAACCTGAAGAGTTAAATATTTAGAGTGTCTTGGCAGTAGCTGGTATTTCTGCTATTTGGGGGGTTCCTGCTAAAGTAAAAGTTTCTTTTCTAATTCACATTGCAGATGTTTAGGAAATACTAAATGCAGTTTGGTAAAGCTGGTCTCCCAGTATATTAATGTTTGATTTTAAACATACAAATTTGTAGTTTCCTGTATTTCCAGCTGTCATTGTAATAGAATTTCTCTAATTTTTCATTAAAAAAATGCCCAGAGCTTCCATGTAGAGTTAGGTTCACATTATTACAAATCACTGGTGCTGCCAATTAAACCTCCAGTCTGACATTGTGATGAATTGTGGTTGTGAAAATCCCTCCTCTGAGTGGAATTTTTCTCTCTGGTAGCAGTTGTTTCATTGATGTCACCACTGGCCATTACTGCATCGCTTCAGAGAACAAAAGGTTATCTGACAGGAAGATGCCTAAGTTTTGGATAAAAGCTCAACCTAGTGCAATGACTAAGAATTTTTTAAAAGTCACACTTTTTAAAGGCCCATCAGGGTCCTGTGGAACAGCAGCAGTAAATGCTGAGGGAGGAGAAGTCCAAGAAACATGACATGGGTGTAGTACTGGGATGTAATAACTATGTGTGCTTCTGACAAACTAAGAGCAGAAAAAGGCTAACCCTTAAGGTTCCTCAAGGGTTTGTGTCTTCCTGTTCGTCTCTTCTTAATGTGCTACCAGGTGCTGCCTCCAGGCAAAGGGACTGGATATAATGAGCAAAATCATAAGAGTCTCATCATCCAGTGCTTCTGAAGTTGAAATAATGCCATATTTCAAACAAAAGAATTTGAAAGACCCGTAACTCTTAACTTTCTAAGAATGTTTTAACCTTCATTACAACCAATAGCTGTAAACAGAGTTGTGTCAAGACTAAGACTATGAATCCTGTGTCTGTGCACAGGAACCATATTCAGGACATTAACTGCCAGCTGTGAGTTCAGCCTCACCTACAAGTGCCATTAACACCTTGTAGTGGTTGTTGTGACTTAGCAGGCAAGATGTTTATTGCAGGAAAAAGAAATGCTTTTGCTTGTTTTTCTGCTTATGTGTGTTGAGCACTTTGGAACTGTGTTCTGAGACTGGGAAGTAAAATTCATGCAGAGTGGCCATGGTTATGGTTGCTGTGGGAACCACAGCAGTGAATTTCAAGGCGTAGAAATGTTGCAGTTCTCAGTCATCCCATTAAGACCCTTCTGTTATCATTTAATAATAGCCATATGAAATCCAGGGTGTGAAACCAAAATACTCATGCAGTTCATTTTTCCTTGTAGTTGCTGATCACACTGAATGTATTAGATGAATAAAAATCAGATACTCAAATATCTCACCATGAAAATAATTCTGTTAAAGCATATGGGGATGCAAAATCGGAAAGTTAAATGTTACTGATGTTACAGTCACACGGTTTTCAGTCATTTGCTTATCTTGAGGTAAAGTCCTGCTCGTTTGGAAGTGTCTCTTACCAGAACCTCAGCTCTCTGTGAGCTCTGTAGTCAAATGCAAACAGCAGAGTCTTTTCAAATGTAGAGTTATTTCCTCTCCCAGCTTACCATGGAGTACTTTCACATGTGTTTCCACCTAGATGGAAAAAACACCAGCCTGAAAGGACCTGAGAGACACTAGGAAGTGTGGGTTTGTGTTGTCCTGTGCCTGTGGTGCCCAAAGGACCAGAAGCAGGGGTGGTGGTGTGGGGCAGAAGGGAGGGAGGGATGGATGGATGGATGGATGGATGGATGGATGGATGGATGGATGGATGGATGGATGGATGGATGGATGGATGGATGGATGGATGGATGGATGGATGGATGGATGGATGGATGGA